GCTATAACTGTAACTGGATATCGGCACGTAAAACTGTTCAGGTCAGGACTGTTATTAAATGTGTGATTTTTGAGGCAGATCGAATATTGCATGCCTGAGATATAACAACTTCCTGTTTTGTGGCGAATCATCATCGTTTGCGAGCCCGCCACGGACACGCCCATCGACGAAAACTCTAAAGCTTCGCAATTTAACATCACCAAGGCTTTAAGATGACAAAACCCAATTTTGGTGTTTATCAGATAAAATCCCTAGGAGGAGTTCGTTAAAATACAACGCCTAGAAATGGAAAAAACGCCACTTTTTCGCCACAGGAAGTTAAAAATATCCGACTTCCTGTTGGGTTTGAGATATGGCTCCAAGAGACTTTTTCGTATGTTTTGGCGTGTTTGAGGTGTGTGCCAATTTTCGTGCATGTGCGTGATTCGTGGATCAGGGGCTCGTCCGTTTAATTTTGGTAGGTGGCGCTGTCGAGCCTATTTGCCAAACCCACTTCAATATTGTTATGTGGATGTGTTCAGGAGAGGACTTTTATCAACCATGTGAAGTTTCAGACAGATCGGACATTGTGTGGTTGAGTTATAAAGCCTTCCTGTTCCATGGCGAAGCGTTGAGGTTTGTCATGCCGCCACGGACACGCCCCTCTGCAAAAACTCTAGATCTTCACAATATATCATCGCTAGAGCTTTCAGATAACACCACGCAATTTGGGTGCTGATACAATAAAATTTGTGGGAGGAGTTTTTTACTCTGTAAATCATGTCATTTCCTGTGGCCAGCAGGTGGTGCTATAACTGTATCTGGATATCGGCATGTAAATGTGTTCAGGTCAGGACTCTTATCAAGCGTGTGAATTTTGAGGCAGATCGGATAATGCATGGCTGAGTTATAATGACTTGCAGTTTTGTGGCGAATCGTTAAAGTTTGCGAGGCCGCCACGGACACGCCCATCGACGAAAACTCTAAAGCTTCGCAATTTAACATCGTCAAGGCCTTTAGATGACAAAACCCAATTTTGGTGTCGATCGGATAAAATCCCTAGGAGGAGTTCGTTAAAATACGACACCTGGAAATGGCAAAAATGGCACTTTTTCGCCGCAGGAAGTCAAAAATATCCGACTTCCTGTTGGGTTTGAGATATGGCTCCAAGAGACTTTTTCGTATGTTTTGGTGTGTTTGAGGTGTGTGCCAATTTTCGTGCGTGTGTGTGATTCGTGGATCGGGGGCTCGTCCGTTTAATTTTTCTAGGTGGCGCTGTCGAGTCATTTTGCCACGCCCACTTCCGAAGCCCATAACAAACGTAAATTTTCGCCACTTCTGGGGCGTGTGCAAAGTTGCGTGAGTTTTCGGGCATGTTTAGCCCCTCTAAATCGCGATTCATTGGAGAGAAGAATAATAATAATAATAATAAACGGAGCAATTCCAATAGGGCCTACGCACCGTTTCGGTGCTCGGTCCCTAATAAAAAACGGAGCAATTCCAATAGGGCCTACGCACCGTTTCGGTGCTCGGTCCCTAATAATAATAAACGGAGCAATTCCAATAGGGCCTACGCACCGTTTCGGTGCTCGGTCCCTAATAATAATAAACGGAGCAATTCCAATAGGGCCTACGCACCGTTTCGGTGCTCGGTCCCTAATAAACAGAGCAATTCCAATAGGGCCTACGCACCGTTTCGGTGCTCGGTCCCTAAATATTCTTCAGCTGTATTATGTGGTAGTTGAGGTGCTACTGTATTTGGTGCTGCTAAGAGGTGCTTCGGCTTGTAGCCTAATCAAGTACTATATTGCACCAGTATTTAAAAAAAAATTGTATTGTATTTTTTTTTTTTTTTTGTATTGCAATGACAAGTGTATTACAACAAATACAACACTGATAGGATTATAGTACAATCAATACAAATGTTACTTTTTTGCAACAAGACAAATGTAACAATTTTAAAATAAATGTAATATAGATAAGCATATAGATAATATAGATAAGAAAGCAAAAGTAAGACAAAGAGAGAGAAAAAGAAACAAATAAATGAGGGCATGACAAAAATAAAACAAATTGATGGAGAATATCAAATAGAGCACATGTTTAATACGTTTTAATAGCTTTAAGTCTGTGATGGTTTTTAAATAAAGTTCCAGTTCTCGTTTAAAAAAAAAATTGGCTTACATTGAGTATGTTTGCATTTGTGTACAAAAAAACAACTTTCCAATAAATAAAATGAGGTTTATGCAAAAAGTTGAATTAAGAAATAATTTTTCTTTAATATAAAACCCAAAACAACTTGTCTATAGCTTAAAGAAAAATCACCACAAACCTTTTGGACAATTAGAGAATTCACATTAGATCAGAACGATTTAACAGAGGGACACTCCCAAAACAAGTAAGCAACAGATTCAGAGGAAGTCTCACAGAAAGAGCAAGAGACGTCAATGTCATTTTTTTTTTTGACTAAATTGTTTAACTGGACAAAGCCTGTGAATAATTTTAAAAGATATTTCTTTAATTTTATTTGTTTAAAAAAATTCTGGGGGAGTGACCAAACAAACGACCACGTAATATCATCAAAGAGGTTGTTCCAATAAGAAATAGAAGAAGGATTTGAGGTGACAAGGTCTAAAAAATAAAGACCTGATTTTATGATTTTTTTTGTGGAGAAAGAAATGGATCCAACAACTGTAGAATCAGGACTAGGGGAACAAAGAGAAATCAATGAACTAATATGATTTCTAAAAAGCATACAAATTTCAGAGGAGATGGCCTTACAAATGATATTAAATTCTTTTTTAGATATGGGCAGAGTATATCTTACAGTAAAATCAGAGTAAGTAAATAAATTACCATGCACCAGTATTGGTGCTTTAGTTTCTTCAGTGTTTTGTTCTTTATGGTGATTGAGATTTTTTATTCATTTTTTTTCTTGTTTCTAGTCCAAATATCTAAAAATTCTTAACTCAAGATGCATCTTCTAGACAAGCAAAACATAATGCCCTGTTGTAAGAAAAAATGTCAAAATTAAGTGTTTTTTTCCTTCTTAAAATAATCTGCCATTTATTTTTCCCATTTTATGTCAAAGGGAAAAACATCTTTTTTTGCTTCCTCCATTGCCAAATAATTTTACTTGTTTTAGGTAAAAACCTAAATGTATCTTGATTTATGATTTTTATATTATCAGACTAAGACAACAAATCTAAGTAAGAAAAGCAGTTTTTGCAGTGTATGTACTTAAAAAGAAGTGAATTGGAGTAAATTATGCACAGATAAGAAATAACTAATGCTCCTTATCATAGCAGTTAGACTGATTCCAGTGTTTAAGGTTTAATGCAGGTAATAAATGTAAATGTTTCAAATATGTCATTTAAAATGAATTGACTACTTGAATCTTATGACAAACATTTGTTTCTGTGTCTGTTTAAGGGAATAATGCAGCATTAACTCATGACTAAATGGAGGATGAAGGCGACACATCAGCGTTTTAAAAGAAAATGGATCCTTCTGTAATATTTCTTCTCCTCTTTAATCTTAATTCCAAATGATTCTAAAGAAAATTGAGCAGTTTAGTTTTGCTAAAAAACACAATAACAAAACAAACAAACCAATGTGAGTTTGACTCCCCTGTTTTAGAGCGGTGTAAATGCAAGTTTTGTAAGATTTTGGTAAATAAATAAATAGAATATTCTATTGGGGGCGAAGCAGTGACACAGTAGGTAGGAAGGGCATCCGCTGCATAAAAACTTGCTAGAAAAGTTGGCGGTTCATTCCGCTGCGGTGACCCCGGATTAATAAAGGGACCAAGCCGACAAGAAAATTAATGAATATTCTATATGGATTTTAATTGTACAGTAAAAAAAAAGCATCCACAATAAATTAGTCTGTGCTGTTTCATCTACTGTATGTGTGGTGTCATTTGTTGGTGATTTTTACTTCTTACACCCAAAATATGAGCAATATTTGTATCAGAGCTTTATTTCTGCTTATTAATTTTCTACCAGCAAAATGTAAAGCAGTCTATTGTATTTGCAATGCCGAGACATGTCTAAACTCCTCTCATGTGTGATGTCTGTGTTTCTATAGTAGACCTTTCAGGCCATGTCCACCGAACAGGGAATTAAACATTTGATTATTTACTTTCCCTGATGTTATGAACTTAGTTTATTTTAAGTGGACTCAAATGAGCTAACAGATCTTATGTTCAAGACTGATGAAAATTCAACAGCTTTTTCAATAAACTGTGTACACTATGATGAGAGTTTCTGTCTTCCACTCTTTTTTTTTTTTCAAAAATAAGTGCAGTTTTTCATGTGTATAATACCATTTGGACTTCTCAAATTTAATTATGCATGTAGTTTTGTTGTTGTCCTCTTTATGGCACTGTGATTGGAGCACCAGTGTGTGTGTTACAATAATAAAGGATAAACTCAGAACCTGAAGGTGCTAAAAATAGTATTGAAAGAAAGTTGATTGAGCAGAACAAACAATGAGAAAATGCTGTTTTTATTAATGGCAGAACATTGTCAGCAAGGAATTAGGCTTTTTATGTAATAAATCAAGAATTTTATATAAAACTTGATAAAAAATACAAATAAATGAATCAAAAATATTTTCACATTAAAAATAACACTACTAGCAGTTTAACACTTATACTTCAAACATTTTCACACATCTCATCATTAGCCTGTTCACAAACTGAAGAATGGAGCAGTGAGATGTTGTTGTGTTGATGTGTGATGTGCTGCTGACTGCAGAATGACTATTTTGCTCGTTTGTTCACACTTTTGTGGTTCAAAGTGGCATTTCTGATCTTCCTCTAAAACCAGAGAATACAATGAAGAGATCAGCTCCTCTCTCTCTCTCTCTCTCTCTCTCTCTCTCTCTCTCTCTCTCTCTCTCTCTCTCTCTCTCTCTCTCTCTCTCTCTCTCTCTCTCTCTCTCTCTCTCTCTCTCTCTCTCTCTCTCTCTCTCTCTCACACACACACACACACACACACACACACTCCACTGCAGACATGATTCACACTCTGATTCTTATTGGCGTTTTACTTCACATTGGTGGTAAATTGTTATATATTTTTTAATTGCATTGCTAAACTATTATGCGGTTTGTTGTGTATTTAATATGTTACAGTTGTTTAACTTTAATGTTGGTTATTCCTAACTATACATTTACTTTATTTGTGTGTGTGCAGTTTATGAGTGTGTTTATGTTTTTCATCTGCACTTAATCATGTCTACAGATGGAGCTTGGGTTATTAATCAAAATATAAGAGTGAAATCTGGATCTCCAGGCATTATTCCATGTCCATATGAAGAACAATATAAAGAACACCAGAAGTTTTGGTGTCAGGGATACTTTTGGAGCACCTGCAATTTATTGGCATTTGGAAATGAAACAGGAAAGAATTTTTCCATCACTGATTATCCAGCTCAGAGTGTTTTTACAGTGGAATGGCAGAATCTGCAGCCGTCAGACTCTGGACATTACTGGTGCGCTGTGGAGATCGGTGGTCCTGGGACACTAGATGCTGGTTATTATGTGTATCTGACAGTACAATCAGGTAAAGAAAACCTTTCTAAATCTCTTTTATTTCTGACGAACAAATAATGTAAAAGCTTTTGTCATGTGTGATAGAGGTTTATTTCTGTTCACACAAGTAGAACTGAAAATGGAGAACAAGTTAAGCGTAGGATGTGTAATGAGTAATGAAAAACACAAAGTCGCCTCGACTACTGCAGGTCTATATTTAATAGTTGAGATCTCATGACTGTTCTTCTGTCAAGAACATGGTGCAGGCCCAAAAAGGACACTGACAAGATGGAGTTTAAATTAGAGTGTTGTGGGAACTGTTCCTAGATACTCTGAATGCAGCTTAACAATCCAAGGTTATGCATTTGTATTTACTTTTAAGAGCTAAGGCTTGCATCTATGCATTGTGGTCTTGCATATCTGTGATGATTATATCGTCTGTCTGCTGAAATATACGTAGATTAAGCACACTAACATGCCCTTAAGCAGTGTTTAAGTGGCAGTGTTTTCACAGCTGTTTATTTCTGATTGCTGCACATTCGACTCCTGGATATCTAGTACACTTTAATAAACAATCCACCTTTTTTGAAAAAAAGCTCCTAGATTTAAACAGTTGACTTGGACCATGTTTGAATACATCCAGCTGATTTCTGGATTGTTCTGATTGTTCTGGCATGGTCACTATTAGCTTAGCTTAGCATCACTCATTGAATTAAATTTCACCATTAGCATTTCATTCAAAAAAGATTTTTTTCATAATTGTCCTATTCAAAGCTCATGGCCTCTGTAGTTGCATTATTTAATAAGACCAACCATCAATTATATTAATTAATAAATATTAGTATAAGTAATGTACATTTATATAAAATAAATAAATAAATGCATATAATAGAGCATAATCTAGAGCATAAAGTTGCTTGCCATTAATACATTTTGCTCCTTATAATGCAGCGATGTTCAGTGTGCAATGCTGTATTTGTGCGTGAACATGCTGTGAGCACAGTATAGCAGCTGACAGGTCAGAAAAGTTTGGTTTCCACTTAGGCAAGAGAAATTTCCTAATGTTGGTTTATTTTATTTATTTATTTATTTAATTATTTGTTTGTTGTTGGGAAAAGGAGCAAGGACTCAAGTGCAAGGAAAATTATGGTTTTATTTATAATACAATAAAATGCAGAAAAAACTACCCAGAGGGGGAAAACATTGTTGGAATACCTAGCCAATTCCATGCGTGTTCAAGAGAAAAGGTCAGGAGAGGTTTTTCTTCAATGCCAAAAATATTAGTAATTTATTAGATACAAATGAATAATTCGATGACAGAGCTCTGGGTTAAATTACCCCAATGCAATACAAGAATTACATTCAAGAGGTTCGCAACTAACATACATTTCCTGACTCCAGTATATATACACAACTGATCTTAACAGGTGGAGTTTTGGTTTAACGTCACTTATCAGTCATTCTGCAGTCCCTTGGCCCTTTGTGACCCCTGGACATTACTTCCTCTTTCTGCAACCTTTCTCTGCATACCAGAACTGAACACTTCCGTGCATCTTTAATATCTTACACACTTCTACAAGCATCATGACAACTTGTGACATGTCTAGACTATAGTTCTGGAACAAACCTAAATTTATTCTTATTCTGCTTTTTTCACTAGTCAGCAGTTCTTCTAAAAAGTATGCAGCACAGTAAAAAAGAGGAAGTTTGTCTGGTCAAGATGTTTTATAATACAAAAGAAAAAGATTGATTAATCTGTTGTTAGTCTAAACATTTTTCTAATAAATGAAAACACAAAAGTTATAAAAATAAATTAATTTTCTCTAACAACATTTACATAACATACAAACAAACTTTACTAGGCAGGCTGGCAGGGATCAGGGCTGGACAGACAGAACAAGGCTACAAACAATGACGAACTGGCACAGGACAGCATTATTAACAGTTAAAAATTGGTTAACAAGGAGGGTTGCACTAGAAAAAAGCGTTTGAAACACCATCTTTGTTCTTTAGTATTTGAGCCTTTTTAATGTTGAGGGATTTGCCTTATGTTTTAATTGTTATTTATGTGATGTAGATTTCATGTTTAGTATTGATTGTGTTCAGCACTTTGGGCAACGTTGTGTTGTGAAAAATGTGCTATATAAATAAACTAAACTAAACTAAACTAACTAAACTAGACAATAGACAGGAGAGCACACGACACAAAGGCTGTTTCTCAATATGTGTTCTTCAGCGGTCTTGCGTCCTCGTGTTCTCGTGTAACGTCATCATCAGCTGCCTTAGTTCAGTTCCAATACTCAAGACCTCAAGAACAGAGGATGCGTGAAACTTCCCGGATGTGATCTTGATATTGAGGATGCAACGATGCAGACTTAAGCACTGAACTCGCTTTAGAAGTCCTAGAAGTCATTGCGACTGGAGGTGTGAAGTGCAGCATTTTATATATATTTATTATTAAAGTTCAAAGATTGAACTTATTTACCTCAGGAGTTTCCCTAAATGAAACAGTGAATATAAACATTACCATGGACATCTTAATAAAAGAATAAACACATTAAGGGTGTTTGTTTGCTTAAATTCGTATTAAAATCTGTTTTATTTATATTGTACAACGTATGTTTATAATATTTTTATGGCTTTGCAAAGACATGTGGTACAGGTGAATTGGGTAGGCTAAATTGTCCGTTGTGTGTGTGTGTGTATGTTTCCCAGAGATGGGTTGCGGCTGGAAGGGCATCTGCTGCGTGAAAACTTGCTGGGTAGGTTGGCGGTTCATTCCGCTCTGGTGACCCCAAATTAATAAAGGGACTAAGCCAACAAGAAAATGAAAATGAATGTGCGACAATAATAAAATCTTTACACACGTTCCCACTTTTATACACGTTGATCAGTTTTAATAGATTTAAAAGTGCACTTGTGTCTGCCTTTTTTATTGATCAATAGGTTGATATGACATTTAGGATGTAAGCAGAACTAAAAATAGTTTTTTTAGAAAGAATAAGATCTAATAATATAATCTTAATAATCTACGCCACTTGTCCCTGCTGAAGGTCAGTAAATTTATGCTTTATTTATTAAAAAAAGACAAGCTTTTTGTTCTTTGTGTAATGTAGGCAATAGCTATGTTTACATCCAATAATATTAATTAAAATTATGTGCAAAACTGGAATATCGCATAAAAGATATGTGCGAATAAAACAGCGTTACCATCCAAATATCAACATTAAAAGCAGAATTTACTGCGGTAGAAGAAGCTGCGGCAGCGTTTATCTTATCTATATTTAATAAATGTACTTCCGCCTCAGGAGACAATGCTGACACACAATGAACACTTGGGGGTGTTTGAAGCCGTGAGACGTGGAGAACGCTTTTAACATGCCCCAGATGCTCTGGAGGTCATTATGTAATACCATTAATACTGAAACGGTAAAAAGTATTTTTAGAATGAATGAGCAAAACAACATTTAAGACGTGTTATAATGTGCTCAGCCTAGTTTGTCCATTCACACACATTTTCATCATCAAATAACAAACCTTTTTTACTTACTGTAAAACCTTTTTGCACATACTGTAATTTGTTCAGTAAAAGTGTTTTCATCGTAGTTTATGCGCATCTTTTCTATCGAATAAAAGTTTATCTTAATCAGTTATGTGCGTGTTTTTTAATGTGTATTTTCCAAAGTTATGTGCATCATGATGTTTCCATCAATCGTTTTTATGGGCATCTCCAAACTGAGCATTAAAATAGGTGGGTGGAAACATAAGGCTAAGGCAAGGAATACTACTTCACCTTTAAAAAAAGGGGGTGGAGACAGACAAATACGGAGTTTAGAGAATAAGGCCATACTCACACTATGTACAGTTGCCTCGAACCAGGCCAAAGCACGCTTGTCCCCCCTCCCGTCTCCCCCGACGGCCTGCACTCACACCACAAACGGGCTTCGGCACGCTTACGTCATCGCTGCTGCGCTGTTCATTGAGAAGCGTTCTCTCACTAAGCCGCACAGAGGAGATTTCTCTAGCTATATCGTTTCAGTCATTTGATATGCCGTCAAATATTTCGCCAAACAGTCCTTAGGGATGCGGGAACATGCAGTCAGATATTTCGCCGAACAGATCAGCCACTTTTGGCGCTCAGAAACAATCATAAAGCTCTCGTGTTGCAGGAATGAGGAGGTTTGCTGAAGGCGCGCAGTTGTCGTTTAGTGAGGAGTTTGCGTCTTTAATAAACTACGGCAGTTTGCGTTCACTGAACAGTAAGAATGATTAATAAATCCATATGAAACAGCCCCTTAAAAATCACGTCTTGCTTTCAGTTTCGGGCTCAGTTTTCAAGTTTTCAAGGGAACCAGGCTCAAGCACACCTCTTCCAACCGGGCCAGGGCCGGCCAAGTGAACCATGCTTAAACCCGATTCAGCGCACTCACACTTCTCAAACGATCCGGGAAAGGGCCTGGGCACGGTACGGATGGCATAGTGTGAGTAGGCCCTAAAACCTGCTCCTGACCAGGTTAGGTTTACAGAGTAAGTTACCGCAGTAACTGACTCTGAGTTAAAGTTACCTCTCGTTCAGAAACAGGCTTGACTTACCCTGTTTTCTCGAGTTTAACAAACCTGCCATCTTGAAATGGAAAACCCAGAGTTTCTCTCATTTCAGGGTTATTATACTCTAAGTTTTCACCTCCTTTCTGAAACAGGCCCAATGTTTCCTCTTTGTATTGTTCTTTGCTTTTTTAATGTACAGTAACTGTGCATATGTAAAGCATATAATATATTATTTAAGAAAAAATGCAAAACACTTCAGAATGCTGATCTGAATAAAACATTTTTATTCTGGAGTGGAGACATTGCAGTGTTTTGAGTGGCCGTGAGTTCACTGCTGTTTATTTCTGTGTAGTAATAAATCTTATTGTCTGCTGTGTGTGTTTCAGCTCCTGATGTGTCTGTGATGAGCAGCAGTGTATCTGGACATGAAGGTGGTAATGTCAGTGTTCAGTGTTTCTACAGTTCTAGATATAAGGCTTACAACAAACAGTGGTGCAGAGTTAAAGATAAGAGCTGTTACGCAGTGGAGAGATCTGACACATCCCAGAGTTCATCAGTGCAGATCAGTGATGATGGTGAAAGCTCCTTCACTGTGCTGATGACTGGACTGAGACTCTCTGATTCTGGATGGTATTTCGGCTCTGTTGGAAATCTGCAGGTTCCTGTTCAACTCACTGTCACTAAACCTGAACACAAAGGTAAGATCACAAACCATAAATGACGTCCCTCTTAAAGTCTTAAAACTAATAATGTTTTCTTCTCTCCTTTCACACTGTGACAACTATTCCAACAACTCCAACATCTGCCTCTGGAACAGACCTGTAGGTATAATTTTAACAATATTTAGAAGAGTAAAACTCAAGGAAATTAATAGTAGCCAGACCATTTTAATGCAACCTGTTAAAGTTGAATCAGAGCTGTGTATAACATTTTATTATTAACAACATCAATGTTGCTGTATATGTCTGTGATTCTATTGTTATTTATTGGAAGCTCTTATATTTCTTTATCTTGTTTTACAGGTACACAACACAGCCGTCTGCCAAACTAATTCCTACAAGTAATAAACTAAATGATAAGCAGCATTGTTTTTAATACTATTATAATTTCTTATGTTTAATATTAAATATATAAAATGGCTTATCTAATCTAATTCACAATAAACTTGATAATTATAACTTTAAAATTAATGCGCTATATAAAGGTTTGCATTATTAAAACTAAGATGAAAATCATGATTAAATTTACCTTATTTCGCCTCAAAAAACAAACATTATGATCAAACTAATGAATCTTTTTTTCCTGCCTTTTACAGCAGCTTTGACTGCCGTTTCAAAACTCAGGACAAACATGTAAGTGTTTTATATTGCTACAATATTCTTTAAGCTTGTTATTTAATCATTCAGAATGAGATATAGTAACAATTCTATCTTGCAGAAATATATAGGGCAATATGTAAAATGACCAAGGGCAGACAGTAGGTTTGAACATTGAGGGGTTGAAGTGTGTCATTTTTGGTGAACCAACCTTTTAAGAATGTAAAGTTCAGGATTTTTGGGAAAAGGTGGGGATTTTTGCTCATGTGATATTGCAGAATGTGTATAACTCTTCTGGCATAAACAAAGATGATGCTGATGATTACTGAACCTACACTTTTTTATTTTACAATGAATCAGCTACACAACTTTAACTGGATTATATGAGAAATAAGTTACGTTTACTGTCATTTAAAAGATTTATTTCTCTATATATTCATTCATTCCATCATTTCCCTTTATTATTCTGGGGTTGGCACAACAGAATTTACCACCAACTTATCCAGCATATGTTTTACGCAGCAGATGCCCTTTTAGCCGCAACCCATCACTGGGAAACATCCATACACATGTACACTCATACGCTACAGTCAGTTTTAGCATAACCAGTTCATCTATACCGCATGTCTTTGGACTTTGTGGGGAAAACCGGAGCACCCATAGGAAACCCTCGCGAACAAGGGAAGAACATGCAAACTCCACACAGAAATGCCAACTGACCCAGCTGAGGCTTGAACTAGCGACCTTCTTGCTGTGAGGCGAACGTGCTACCCACTGCCCCACTGCATTGCCTTCTCTATATGTTAATATTTATTATATAGTATATTATTTTAGACTACTAAAATTTCAATTAAAGTCGCTTTGTTGAACTGTAGAGTTGAATTTTCCACATCAAAAGTTGACAGAACAGAGATCGACAAAATACTTGTAAATTACAAAATACGGAAACTATTATTTAACCGATTTTTTACAGTGTATAATGTAGAAACAGCTGGTTGCGTTACTATAATTTTATCATCTAATAATAATATTCTAATACCGCTTTCTCTGTCTATATTTGATTATTTTGAATGTCCTTTCTTGAAAGCACTTTAAATGATCACCCAGTTGTTGGGTGTTAAGAAACAGAGAAGAAAATAAAAACTTTAATGACAAACTCACAAAATTATAATCAATTAACAATATATCCCCCACAAACTACGCCCAGATGACAACAACATTTAGGCAAGGCAAAAGGCAAAGGCAAGTTCATTTATATAGCACATTTTATACACAGTGGCAATTCACGTGCTTTACATAAACAAGAATAAAAAATACAAGTAAAATAAAATAAAAACAAACAATAATAAAATGATTAAAAACATTTTTAAAAAAAAGAAAAGAAAGCCATAATAGTGCGATCTGTCGGACATAGCACAGTGCTCATTCAGTAAAGGCACAGCTAAACAGACGTGTTTTCAGTATTGATTTGAATGTGTCTTTTGTTGGAGCACATCTGATCATTTCTGGAAGCTGATGCTAGAAGCGAGTGGCGTAGTGGCTGAAGGCTGTAGTCATCAGGCAGTAAGGCTAGGTAGATCTGAGTGTCATCAGCATAGCTATTTGGCTCAGAGGAAGCATATAAAGGTTGAACAGTAGGGCTCTGTTTTATCGATCTAGGTACATAGTCTAAAGCACAGGGCGCAAAAGCATTCAGGGCAAGTCCGAACCCACTTTTGCTTTTTTAAGGATAAAAAATACACTCTGCGCCCTGGTGCATGGTCTAACAGGGTTGTGCTTCTTCTCTTAAAGAGTTATGAGTGTGTTTTGAGCATAGCGTGCAATAAACCAATCAAAGTCTCATCTCCCATTCTCTTTAAGAGTCAGTTGCATCATGTCATGGCACATTTGTAGTTTACATGGCTACTTTGTAAAAGGAAAAACTGAACGCTTCACCAGTGAGAAAACAGTTAAACAGAGCATCTGCAGCACAAGGATAAAGAATGAGCCTTCTCTATTTAGCCTCTTGAACAATTATTATTATGAACAATAATAATGAAGTGTGGTCAAAAAAACATATTTATATTCAAATACACATCCTATTCTTATGCCCCATATGGCGATGCAGACATCTCCAAAAACCGTTGGACAAATTTAAACTTGTTTCTATTAAACAAATATAAATATGCATATAATAAATAAAACTGAAAATGATAATAATAACATTATACAACAACAAACTGTTGTGAATAAAATGAAAAATGATTTAAAGAATTTTAATAAAATTTAATTTTAAGGGTAAAATGTTTCCATAATCTACTTGATGTGACTGAAATGTATTTAGTTTTCTCTTCTGATCATGTGTGTTTTAATCTTTCAGACTGAACAAGGAGCATTTCTGTCTGTCAGAGGCCTAGATGTGTTTCTCCATCTCACCCTGAAGATTCAGAGATTTAGAAAAGTGTTGATTCATAATATTCTGTATTTGCTTTATGCTTATTCATCAGAGGAAAGTAATAACATGTAAAATGTTTTCTTTAAAATGCTAAAGTTCAATTAACTTAACAATTTAGTTCAGTTAAATTGTGTAATTCTATTATATTAAATGTGTGCAACAAACTTTTAATTCAGAGAAAAACTTTAATAATGTCCCGTGTCATTTTGTCGCATGTCAGTAATGTCATATCTGCTTTTCTCTGATGTAAATCAATAGTTTCCATCAAGCTGCAGCTAATAACATAAGCATTTCATTAAACTTAACATTTGTGACCACCTCTTCTTCTACTGGAGATCAGAGGTCATTAAAAAAATAAAGTCCTTTATACGTCTTTGTTGTTATGATTAAGCACCTTCTAGTTGCAAAACATACATACTGCTTCCTAAAAGATTACTGTCTATATTGCATTTCTTTTCATGTGGCATTATTTAGTTTCAGCTGTTTTTTTTTTATTTTCATGCTTTTAAAAGTTTTTTTTTTAAATAAAGGCTGAAGCGAGTAAAAATAAAATTAAAGTTTCTTCATGGTGTATATTATTTAAATTATATTTAAAGTATTTAAATAAATCACTTGTTTTGGAATCAAATAAATAAACTGGTGGATTAATAGATTAAGTGGATTAAATTAATAATTTAGTGAACCGTGTTAATGATTGAAATGGTTTTATTAATACATAGTGGTGCCATATTTGAAATGTCAAGTGATCTGCTTTGTCATAATTACAGAAAAACATAGCAATATATTGTATATAAAGGGGAAACTGGAAAACAAACAAGATGATATATTCAGTTGATTATGTTTATTATAGTGTTCAGTCTCTTGTACAGACTGATTATATCACACCATTAGACCTCTAAGTATTGTATGAAGCACAAGTAATAAATTTCTCCTGCCTGCATGTGTTTTCTGACTCTCAAATTTCTGATAACCATTAAATTGCTATTTGTAATTCACAAAGGACCACCTTTTCTGCTAAAAATCCACTGAAAAGTTAAAAATGTTCTTCTGAAGAGCAGCAGAAAGTGTATCTTGGAAATTTTGGATATGAAAATTATTTTAATCTCTTTAGGGCACTGCATGTATCATTTTAATCACCAGGGGCCTCATGTGTCAACGCTGCATACGCACAAAAACTTTGCATACGCCAGTTTTCACGCTCACGTTTGGATTTACTAACGATGAAATTAACATGAGAATGTGCGTGGGTACGTGCCAACTTCATGTCTGGTGTACGTGTATTTTTTGTGTGTTTGTTTTGTTTCCATTGGCAACTCCTAGAGGCAATTGTGTTAAATTGCACACTACAAAATATCGCACCAACACATGTAAAAAACATTGCTGATAATTTAGAATTGATAAAATGGGTTAATTAACAATATTTTTTTTCACCAATTATGTGATTTAGAACATATAGAAGCATTTGCAAATATATACAACCCTAGTCTATGGCAAGGGCAGTGTTGGCCTTATAAGAGGACATTGTAAATGGTCGAATCCGAAGGGGACACATTTTTTAGGGATCACAGTGATTTTCTTGCTCAAGATGATGACTGGCTTATTAGCCGTTTCAGATTTCCAAGAGCTATCCTCTTGGAGATCTGTGCTGAGTTGGGTCCAAATTTGGAAAGAAAGACAGCGAAGAGGCTCCAAGGTGGCAGGGTACGCAATGGGTGGCTTTTTGGTGAGTGATGTATTTAAAGATATTATTCCAGCTATGTTGTTATTTTATTTTATTAAGCGTAATTATTTAACTGCATATCAGCAGACTGTTATCCATTAAAGGCGTGGCTGTTAACCCCCCCTCAACAACCCACAAACTGACCTAGAGCGCAAATACAATGATGCCCATTCTCGCTCTCGGCCAGCTGTAGAGTAGGCGATTGGGCAGTTGAAATGCCCAAAACATCTGTGTCTCCCACAGACACAGATACTACTCCAGACAGTAAAGTGTGGCCCACAATTGAGGCAGCTCTCTCCTCAAAGGGTGTTAGTTCAGCATCTCCTGTACCCCCGCCTGTTTGGTTCACACTTTGATAGTGCGCTGCTGTTCTCCTCTTAACCTGCACCTTTACATGGGAGCATTACTTTTTTAATTCACTGACAGTGCGATGTTCAGACCCCACTGCGTTAACCGCATCAGCTAAACTCTCCCGCTCTATTTTTTTCTTTTCTTTTGTTATTAATTCCGGAGGACAAACTTGCAATTAACACAGTTTTTCTCCGGTCTACCTCTGATAGGAGCACCTCCAATTCACATTCTAAGTTTCTCCTTTTGCTAGCTTTTGCCATTGCCTTTTCGTTTGGTGGAGTCATTACCATATTTATACAGGAGAGGAGGCGGGGGAGGGGTTTTGTGCACTTGCGTTCAGTTTCACATTAATTTGGATGTATAAAGAAAATATTCACCATACACAGTGTTTCATACATAAAATTTTTTTTTACTGCGTACGCACATTTACAGCTTTGTAAAAAAATTTTGTATGAATTCAACGCATGTCTTTGCATGGGGCCCCAGATGTCTCTCAGAAACAACTCAAACTAAAATTAAACTTTCAGAAGCATCCAGCAGGGGGTGTCATTTACAGCACTGTGACTCCATGCTGAGAAAAAACAGCTACAGACTCTTCTGAATGCCATTGTGACGGATGGCAGGTGAGCAGATAGAGGAATAAAACCCCAAATAGAATAGAAATTACATCAGTTTACTCGACTACGCCACTTTGGGATTTGCCCAAAGAATTAAAACACGCACCACCTATAAAGGCACGCGCAAGTTCGCTCCCCAAATTAGAGTCAGAGACATTGGCACAGTACAAAAATAATTTCTTTGACAAGTCTTGAATAAAAACCAATATTGCAATATAGACACAGTAGCTTATAAAATCATAAAATGTTCCGGTAACGCTTTCTTTTACAACCCGCAAAGTACCGCGTAAGTACAGTGAAATAACAGTGTACTTTTCTGTACGTACTGTGTAAGTATAATGAACGTATGTGTAGGTATAATGGAACAAACCGTTATGCTTCGGTAATAAGGGGGTAACAACCAGATGCTCATCACGAAAATTACCGCGTAAGTACAGTGAAATAACGTTGTAATTTTCTTTACATATAGTGTAAGTATAAATAACGTTTACGTAGGTATGAGGGAACAAACTGTAATGCTTTAGTAATAAGGGGGTAACAACCAGATATTGAGCATGAAAAGTACCGCGTAAGTACAGTGAAATAACGTTTTACTTTTCTTTAAATTGCAAAAGAACAAACCATAACGTTTGCTTAATAGGGGAGTAACAATAAGATATTCATCATGCAAAGAACCACGTAAGAATATTACGTTTACAATGTACTTTTCTTTAAGTATTGTATACATATAAAGAATTATGCAAGGATGGTGACATATTGCTATCTGCAAATGTACTGTACATGCACCTGCGTGAGTACATTAGTACCCTTATTCAGTGCTACGGGTTGTAAAAGAAAGCGTTACCGTAATTTATCATTTATTATCGCAGTAAATATCTGTAATGGGTATATAGAGTAAATTACTGTAATTTATTCTTTGCACTACACAATTTTATACAAATCCTGCTCGTTTTACAGTAAAATTTTACAGTTTCCTTTCACTACAGCTAAACAGTGGCTATTTTACAGTTATTTAATGCATAATCTACAGTAAGGGTTAACAGTGTGTTTTACAATTTATAGTTACTGACATATACTGATGTAGTTGAGAAATTCTCTGGGAAAGAATGTAAGTGTGTGAAATTAATTCAGCATCTAAATCTGTGTTTGCTGCAGATGCCCTCTGAAAACCAAATGACATCTATCAGTCCTGCAGAAGCTGATGTAAGTCTTCATTCTTTGTTCTTTATAACTCTCAGAAGACACTGAGATGCTGAATTCAGATCAGTGATGGTCGGTTGTGTTTGCTCACAGTCTTCTGCTGATGACGCTTCTTTGGTTTAAAGTCCTGTCTCCTTTAATAAATCAGCAAGTCTACCTGAGATTTTTAAGAAAGTGTTTTTGAGTTTTTGTATAGCGGGCCAGATTATATTAATATTTATAAAAAGCCTCGGGGGCCACTACAAAACTGATTGCGGGCCGCAGATGGCCCGCGGGCCGTAGTTTGGACACCCCTGCTCTAGGCTGTCAGTGGGAGTTCTCTGATCACCACCCCGCCGAGAGCAGCTTTACATCAGCCAGTCCATCTCAGATCTACTGCTGGATCTCATCTCTCCATTGTAGTTAAAGATGTTATTTAATCAGTGGTGTACAGTAACTAATTTCAAATACTCAACTGACAGTATTTGAGTAGTTTTTCTCAGAAATTGTAATTTAGTAAGTAGTTTTAAAAAATGTGTTTTTTTTACTTTGCCTTGTGTACATTTTTAGTTTTTATTGTCTATGCCAATTAGAAAAATCAGTCCTGTGATTCCTGCATCAGCTTTTTATAATGGTACTTTTTTAGTAATGGTACTTTTACTTGAGTATGATTTTTCAGTACTCTTTCCACCACTGTATTTATTACATCTTGTGTATTTCTTTCTCTTTTTTTTTACTTTTAAATCTATTATTTGTTCTCAGGTGTATTGTTATTGTCATGTTTTATAATTGTTTTTATTTAGTTAATGTTAGTTAATGGAGTATTGTTTTGTCATGTTTTATAATTGTTTTTATTTAGTTATTGTTACCATGTCATAACGTTACACTGTTTGTCTTTGCTTACCACACTGCATATCTTTATTTTATATTGTATACATCTTGTTTTTTATACTTGTTTAATGGCTGTTGTAGTTTTTTTTAAATCTGATAATCAAACACATGGATCTATATATAATAACCAATAATGTATTTAACTTCATTATGCATTTACTTTTGATTAAATGTACACATTTTCTCATAAATTATGCTTTGTAATAGGCTATATGTACTAAACATGCAGTGAAGATGGTATGTACATAATGCCTTAATCACATTTGTGGGGAATTATGTTTACTTTTTCTTAAATCCAAATTATTAGAAGCTGTGCTTTACATAATTCATTCATTTTATTTTTAATGTACAGTAAAAACAATAAATCCCCAGTGAGGTAAATTACATTGTAAAAGAACACTGCTATTTCATTTAAAAAAAGAAGTACCTGATTTGTGTCATCGGGTCCTTGGGAGTTGGAAGTCGAACTCGGCAAGTCTGAACTTCCAAGCACACAAGTCCAAACTTTGCGTACCTCAGGTACTTGGCACTGAGAATGACAGTTTGACACTTGTGTTTCAAACCTCTCATCTGCTCAGCCTTGATATTTATTAGTATTTAGGCCAGTTTTATGAATAAATCAAATTATTGAACTGAATAAGAGCTAATTCTGATGAAGCACTACTGTCATTTAACATTCATTAACCTGCTCAAAAACTGAAAACTCGGTAGTGAAATGTTGTTCTGTTGATGTGTGATGTTGCTGGCTGCAAAACAATGACTTTGCTCATTTGTTCACACAAGTGTGGTTTTAGATATTTCTGCTCTTCCTCTAAAAAGTAAAGTAACAAAGAGACCAGCTCCTCTCACACACACACACTTACTCCACTGCAGACATGATTCAAACTCTGATTCTCACTGGGGTTTTGCTTCACATTGGAGGTAAGTTATAATTCCTTTTAAAATTGTATTGTTAAATTGTTATATGGTCTGTTGTTCAATTAATGTGTTACAGTTGTTTGATGCTAGTTTTTCTTCACTATACATTTACTTCATTAGTGTTTGTGCAGTTTATGAGTGTTCTTTTGTGTTTTCATTTTTATGTAATCTTGTCTACAGATGGAGCTTGGATTGATAAACTGAATATAGGAGTGAAATCTGGATCTCCAGGCATTATTCCATGTCTATATAAAGAACAATATAAAGAAAATCACAAGTATTGGTGTCAGGGGATGTTTTGGAGCTCTTGCACTATATTGGCATTTGGAAATGGCCCAAGAAGTAAATTTTCCATCACTTATTACCCAGCGCAAAGTATCTTTACAGTGGAATGGCAGAATCTGCAGCCGTCAGACTCTGGATATTACTGGTGCGCTGTGGAGATCGGTGACAGTGGGATACCAGACGCTCGTTATTATTTGTATCTGAAGGTACAACCAGGTAAAGAAAACCTTTCCAAATCTCTATTTTTTTTCCTGACAAATAAAAAATGCAAAAGGTTGTGTTATTTGTGAGGTTTATATCTGTTCACACAAGTGGAACTGAAAAAGGAGTTAATTAAAGTGTAGGATGTGCGATGACTAATGAAAAAACACAATGTGGCCTCGACTACTGCAGGTCTATATTTAATTGTTGAGATCTCATGACTGTTCTTCTGTCAAAGAGAAGGTGCAGACCCAAATAGGTCCCCAACAAGATGCAATTCAAATTACAGTCTTGTGGGATGTGTTCCTGGCTCTGAATGCTCTGATTAATGCAGCCTAACAGTCTTGTGTATCTATGATGATTATATTGTCTGTGTTCTAAAATAAATATAGATGAAACGCACTCACCGCTAACATGCTCTGAACCAGTGTTTGAGTGGCAGTGTATTTACAGCTGTGTATTTCTGTTCAGTAAAAAGTTGTATTGTCATCTTGACTGTTTTCAGTTCCTGATGTGTCTGTGAAGAGCAGCAGTGTATCTGGACATGAGGGTGGTAATGTCAGTGTCCAGTGTTTCTACAGCTCAGAATATCACAATAAACTCAAAGGCTGGTGCAGATTTAAAGATAAGAGGTGTTTCAAAGAAGAAAAGACTGACACATCCCAGAATCCATCAGTGCAGATCAGTGATGATGGTGAAAGCTCCTTCACTGTGCTGATGACTGGACTGACACTCTCTGATTCTGGATGGTATTTCTGCTCTGCTGGAAATCTGCAGGTTCCTGTTCGACTCACTGTCACTAAACCTGAACCCAAAGGTAAGATCACAAAAAGTGTAATGCTATTACTGTCCTAAAATGCCCTTGCTGCTCTTTACTCTAATCTTTAGTATTGACAACTACTCCAACAACTACACCTAAGACAGAAATGTAAGTTTAAAGTTTTTAACTATTCAAAAAGAATCAAACGCATCCAAATACTTTGGTTGTCGGAGTTATATGAAATTAAAATGATTTGAATAGGGTGTAACATCACTTATCATGCTTTGACATTACCCTATTACTTTATGAATTTGCCACTCTTAAAATGTAATCACTGTATTGAGTTATTCATACTGGCTGCAACACACTTGCAGGTGTGTATTTGTGAGTGATTTACTAAATCAAGCTAATCATTCATATAGTAACAATATTTCTATACTTATATTTTTCCCCAACACACATGTAGCCATTTAATTAATTATGATTATTATTTTACATTGTTTTGCAGAAGCACGACACAATCATCTGCCAACAAAACTCCTACAAAACTATATTAATCATGAGTTATTCAGGCATTTAACATTTGTTGTCATTTGTGATAAATTTGATTAATGACTAATTGTGAAAAGATCAATTTTTCTTATATAATGACTTTTTAGTTCTTCATTTTAATTGTTATCTTTTAATTTGGACTTTTATCACATCATTCAGATTTGTCATATCATATTTAGTGTCTTCAGTCTCCAATATTTATCCAAATTAAAATAAGGTATTGAAATGTAAATTTTTGTATACAGTGTTGTGCAAGTTACTTCCAAACAGTAATACATTACAGATTACTTATTACTGTTATTTAAATGTAACCCCTTAAATTACAATATTACTGTCTCAAATTTGTAATATGTTACATTCCTCTTATATTAGTTTTTAGTTACTTTCACCAAAATAACTACAGAATTAGAACTTTACATTCTAAAATGACTAGATGTACTACATTTTACATCCAGTAGAAAGCGATATGATGTAGCAGAATGACTGTGACCTATCCAGGCTAACAATATAGTATATAATTGGCGACATGAAGGCTCAAGACAATGCAAGAAAGGATAAGAGCCAGAATCACAAATGATCTAAGTCTGTTAAAAGGATGGTAAAGTAATTATCTGTCAATATCTGTGAATAGCTTGACTATATTCATAGACACAACAGGCCTATTTGTAAACGCCAATGCCATGACAAGACGCAGATTTTTTTTTTCTTTTCTTATTGTTGCCATTATTGTATTCACTTTAAATTCAGGTTCACAGCACAAAACTGTCATGCACAAAGTGAGCATGATGAACAGCTTTCTCAGTATAATGTTTGTGCACCGATTTCCTCTGTTTGTGAACAAAACTGCTTGCGAGCTCTCAAATATACGCTGCTCGCATGCAAATTTCTCCCACTCTCTCAGTTATGCACTGCTCTCTCACAAATGTTCTTGCGCGCTCTCAGTACACTGCTCTCTCAGTGAGATTATATGCAGACTCACAATCTGTTTTGTGTTCCTTCTTCTATTCGTGCTTTTTGATATGATTTATATTGGGCTAATATTTATTAACAATAACCAAAGTACTAAAATAGATCTGCATATTAAATTGTTTATCTAATAAACCATAACATTTTTGGCTGTATGTTATATGGTGAGATATTTCCAGTTTCAAACACTTAAAGACACAGAGAATATACGTTGTATGTAAAAAATACTTTTTATTTAAAAAAAACATTTATTAAACATCCAAAAGATGGACCATACTAATCAAATAAAAACATTTACACAAAAATATATCTAACTTAAGCAGAAATGTAATTGTGATAGAAAATAGGGAAAAACTTGATTAGGTATTATAGCCTACTGCACTATTCACTCTTCAAAAAAATCTTACTATCAATCTCATTTTGTCATGGCAACTAAAATAAAGTGAACAAGTCTCTGTTGTCTTCCACATTGTTGATGAGATTGTGGAGGACATTTTCCTGTCATGTACAGTGTTTTGAACAATACTACAGTAAAGTACTTCAATTACTCAGTTGTGGTAATACTATAGTTGCTATGGTAACACAAGTGTAATATAAACAAATAACCCAGTGCTGTAGTTTTTTTTTTTTTTTTTTACAGTATAGGGTATATTATACTGCAATTCACCACACTTTACTGTAGTAAAACTACACTGTATTTCATGTTATCAGTTCACTATTCTTAATACAACAGTATGCTGAAGCATTTATTAACAAGTTGTAAATAATACTAGCCTAAACATAGGCAGTATATACCTAACACTCAAAAACACTACTATTTATTATAGAATTTACCATAACCTTTTAGTGTTTCATGTATTGTTAATAGATAGTGTAGCAATATATAAACCATATCAACATTTTTGGGATAACCATTGAACAGGAGGATCTCTGGAGAGCAAAAGCACGAAAGGAAGAAGAAACATGGGGCACAAATTGTGAGTCTGCATTATCTGACGGAGCGAGAGCAGATCATTCGCACATGAGCAGCTGCATTTTGAGTTAGAAATTTTGCGGGCAAGCATTTTTGTCCACCAACAGAGGATTACATAAATGCGCTCTCGACATGTCAAACTGCGCTTGCCACATTTGTCAGTGAAATAACGCCATATGCACATACATCCATCCTGCGAATGTGCTGTCTTCTGCTATTTTCATCTATTTGTCACTCTTCCACTGCGCGTCAGGGCTTGCCAGAACCGGGCTGAGCCAATAGCCTCAGACCTCTAGTTCAGAGGCTGAAATCATTCCGCGTTCAAAGAAAAAAAAGCTCCAATAGCCAGAGGGAGATTAATGACAACACGCGCATATATTCACTAACCACAAACAGGAAAAAAAAACTTACTTGCGGTATTTTTTATTTGTTAATGTCATACGGACAAAAAGTGTTTTGTAACGCACGCGTTACTGAGCATGTACCGAGTAAAATATTATTGAAAATGTATTAGTAATGCCTTACACTACAGGAAAATGCAATACATTACTGTAATACATTACTTTTGTAATGCATTACTCCCAACACTGTTTGTATATATACATTTTTCAATACAGTTGTATTACTGTAGTAGTATTACCGCCGTATGTTTAGAGAGGGGAATCAAAAATGGAAATAAAAATTATTATTTTTATTTTTTCCTTTTTGCTATTAACAGCAGCCATGACTACTGGTTCAAGACCCAAATCACGTGTGTAAGGGAATATTATTATTAAATCATTCAGAATAATAATTAATACCAAACTGTTACACTGTATTACTATAGTAAACATTATTCTTTACATCCAGAAAAGACCCTTATCGCCCTCCAACAACAGATTCAGAGATTAACACGGGAAAAGACAACAAGGATGAACAAAACAAGTATTTCAATCTTTTCAGTGTTCGTTTGCTTTTATTGAATCTCTAATTAGAAGCAAAGTCTTTCAAAAACTGAATCACATATAAGTATATCATTCAGTATGTATGAGCCAGGTTTTTTTTTTCTTTGATTTTTGCCCATTGGTGAAGTTTTTTTCCCTCACCACTGTTGCCACTGGCTTGCATAGTTCTGGACTTGTAGACCTGCGCATTGATGGATTACTCTTCAGTTTATTGACTCCCAGAATAAAATACTAAAACACTTTGAACTGAACTAATCTAAACTGAACTTAAACACTGAAAACTGAACTACACTATTTCAGTTCACTATAATCTTCTATGTGAAGCCGCTTTGACACAATCTACATTGTAAAAGTGCTATACAAATAAAGATGAATTTAATTTAATTGAATAGGTCAACTGATTTTATTTATTTTGTCAGTTTTGGTGTATGTATGTTGTCAGATTCCTTAGAACCTAAATCCAAATCTGTTAGAATTGAATACTATTACATTTAATCAGTTAAATATATGAATATGACATGGATACATTTAGCTGTTAAAAAAACAAAAACAAGATTCAATTAATTAAATTATATATGATTGGTTTACTTAATAGCCAAGAAAAATTGACGCAACATATTTTTCCACACAATAGATAAATAATCAAGAAGCATTTAAAACACATTGAATGTATTGATATTATTATTATTTATACACCATATTATATCTATACACCATAAATCTTGTTCTTATTGGTTTTATTTATGATTAACTAACAAATATCAATCACAAAAAGTTTATTAGTTCAATTATGCTAAAAGTATATAACCAAAATGGATGTAAATTTTATATGCATTCGAATACATAAAGTTACCTAACAAACATGTCTCTCCATCCCCACAGGTATGACATGATTCTGATCATGTGCCTTGTAGTGACACTTGCGCTTTTACTGCTCGTCGCTCTTTTTACCATAATAATCAGAAGGATGAGAAAGAATCCAGGTAAGTTAATTTTTTTCATTGCTGAATATTAATGATTTCACAGTAAATGAGAGAAAACAGACTGTAAAGTAAAGTTTCAGGTTTTCACACTAAGATATTGCTTGATAATAATAGCAGGTTTGACACGCTGTCCCAAGAGAGAACCCTGAGCTTGGAGATAATTAATCCCAGGGCTCCCGCCTGGTCATTAAGCATGTGAGGGGGTATGAGATCAGGTCGAGACCTCCCCCTGATAAAGGAGGAAAAGGGGGTGGATGAGGGAATTCTTAAAAAAAATGAACATGGGGGAGTAATGCTTGTCGGGCTATTTATAGTGAGTTTGGAATGATCCGATTGGCTTACTAATGATTACAGATGAGAGACCAATCATATCATGTGCTCCTCTCAAAATTAAGCTGCCATCACAATAGAGTTTAAGCATGCGAAATTCTGTCATACAGCGCTGCGAAAAGGGGCAGGATTAAACAAGATGATTAGACATTTAAAAAAGTGCGTGATTGGTCCATATTTAAAATTTCTGTCCAGAGAGGTCATATTTTGATCCTCGATTGGTCTCATGCAGTCATGTGATGTGATTTTGCAGGTCAGAAATCACCAAGCTTGAACTTTGCAATGAAGTGAACTGTGAAACTTGACGCACGACCTTGCGATTCTGGTCTGACACGTTCGCATGTGTATGAATGGAAGTTTATGGGGAGAAAAGTCCAGTGTAACTACCTACTGCGCCACTGCGTCACCCACACATTCAGTTGAAGTCAGAATTATTACCCCCCTTTGAATTTTTTTCTTCTTTTTAAAATTTTTTCCAAATGATGTTTAACAGAGCAAAGACATTTTCACAGTATGTCTGATAATATTTTTTTTTTCTTCTGGAGAAAGTCTTATTTGTTTTATTTTGGCTAGAATAAAAGCAGTTTTTATTTTTTAAAACACCATTTTAGGGAAAAAATTATTAACCCCTTTAAGCTATATATTTTTTCTCGATTGTCTACAGAACAAACCACTATTATAGAATAACTTGCCTAATTACCCTTACCTGCCTAGGTAAACTAATTAACCTAGTTAAGCCTTTAAATGTCACTTCTTGAAAAATATCTAGTCAAATATTATTTACAGTCATCATGGCAAAGATAAAATAAATCAGTTATTAGAAATGAGTTATTATAACTATTATGTTTTTAAATGTGTTGAAAAAAATCTGCTCTCCGTTAAACAGAAATTGGAGAAAAAATGAACAAGCGGTCTAATAATTCAAGGGGGCTAATAATTCTGACTTCAACTGCATATTAATATATATTAAGTGTACTTCCACAACAAATATTTTTTTTTAAATGGAAAAATTCCATCAATGTTAAATGTTCTATTCAAGAGTACTCTGTTCATTTGAAAAATAATTTTAAAAAATGTTAATCTTCAAATCTCACTCTGACAGAAGGTGATCCAATTAGAGAAGAACGTTTTAACAGCAGCACCATGAATACTGTGAGTGTTTTATAATTTACAGTAACTGACAAATACTGATGCAGTTGAACAATTCTCTGAGAAAGAATGTAATCGTGTAAAATTAATTCAGCATCTAAATCTGTGTTTGCTGCAGATGCCCTCTGAAAACCAAATGACATCTATCAGTCCTGCAGAAGCTGATGTAAGTCCTCATCCTTCATTCTGTCTGCTTTATAACTCTCAGAAGACACTGAGATGCTGAATTGAGATCAGTGATTGTCAGTTGTTTGTTCACAGTCTTCTGCTGATGATAGTTCTATGGTTTACAGTCCTGTCTCTTTTACTAAGACAGTAAGTGTCTCTGAGATTTTCATCACTGAGTTTTTTTTTAATTGTCTGTGTCAGCAGTTTTCCATTATTTGACTCTTGTAGCACTGAGATTTGTGTGACAAAAATTGTGCAATTCACAATCAAACACAGTAAATTAACAGCCAAAGCACACAGTTTTTCTAGCTGTAAAGTGTTGTGCAAACTCCTTTCAGATCTGATTGTGTTTTTTCACAGCGTTTATCATCAGTGGACCCCATAGCTGATGTGCTCTACAGCGCTGTGATGAAAGATCGCAAAACTGTAAGTTAATAACATACAGATATAAAGAGGAATCCTTTATTAAAGCAGTTAAAAAACGTGAAATTTACTGTAATTCAATAATAAGTCATACATGTATCAGTTTTTAGTATATTGTTAAGGGATTAAGCATTAATGCATGCAGATAACAATTGTAAATCTTTCAGTTAAATAGTTAAAACTAAATGAATCCCCTGAAACTGATTATGGTTTCTGTGTATATTTCAGGTATAATGCAGAATTATTTAATGGCCAAATAAAGGAAGGAGACATATCAGCATTTTTGAAGAAGATGAATCTTGCTTTAATATTTCTTCTCATCCTTAGTTTTAAGTTCAAATTACTCTAAAGACAATTTACCATGCTTTTACTAAAAGAAGAAAACAAACAACATACATGGTGAACAAAAATCAGCCATGGTTTTGCTATACTATAGTATTTGAAAAAAAAAAAAAAAGGAAACATTTTTCATGGGCGAGGCAGTGGCGCTGTAGGTAGTGCTGTCACCTCACAGCAAAAAGGTCGCTGGGTGGCTGGTTCGAACCTCGGCTCAGTTGGTGTTTCTGTGTGGAGTTTGCATGTTCTCCCTGCCTTCGCGTGGGTTTCCTCTGGGTGCTCCGGTTTCCCCCACAGTCCAAAGACATGTGGTACAGGTGAATTGGGTAGGCTAAATTGTCCGTAGTGTATGAGTGTGTGTGTGAATGTGTGTTTGGATGTTTCCCAGAGACGGGTTGCGACTGGAAGGGCTTCCGCTGCGTAAAAACTTGCTGGATAAGTTGGCGGTTCATTCTGCTGTGGCGACCCCGGATTATTAAAAAGATTAAGCCGACAAGAAAATGAATGAATGAACATTTTTCATTAAAATGTGGATTAAAGTTTGGGTAAAAACTTACCAACTCTAAAAAAGTAATAAAATAATTACATAAAAAATTTTATTCGGCCTGAAGGGTGATTAAAAATAATATTGCCAAAAGAACATTAAATCAAATGTTTTGCTTCAACATTTTACTTGAGATGCAACTATAATTCATTAATAGAGGCAAAATAGCATTTGATGGGGTTTTTATGTACTGAATGAGTATTTATGTTTTTATACTGTTTTAATATTTGTGTACAGTGATGTAATGTGTATTTATATAGCGCATTTATTGTGTATGGCCATACACCCAAAGCACTTCACAATCATGACAGGGAGTCTCTCCACACCACCACCAGTGTGCAGCATCCACTTGGATGATGCGACAGCAGCCACAGGATAATGGTGCCAGTGCACTCAACACACAACAGCTATAGGTGGAGTGGAGAGATATACAGTAGAGACAATTTGGTGGATGGGGATGATTGGGGGGCCATGATATGTGAGGGCAGAAGGAGGGAATTTTACCAGGCCACCGGGATTAAACCCCTACAGTACTCTTTAGGAGAAGTGTCTTGGAATTTTTAATGACCACAGAGAGTCAGGACCTCAGTTTAACATCTCATTTGAAAGACGGCGCTCACTGACAGTATAGTCTCAGCTTCACTGTATTGGGGCATTAGGACCCACATAGACCACAGGTTGAGCGTAACACTCACTAACACCACTTCCAACAGCAACCTTGTTTTCCCATGTGGTCTCCCATCCAGGTACTGACCAGATTCAGCCCTGCTTGCCTTCAGTGAGGCTGCAGGGCAATATTGCTGTGACCTGTGGCAGTACAGTTATTTTTAGAGTGATTGTAAGTGAATTGATTTTACACAACAGTTAATTAAATTAGTATTAGGAGATTTTTCTAAATAAATAAATACAATGTTCATTCATTTATTCATTTTCTTTTCGTCTTAGTCACTTTATTAATCCAGGGTCACCACAGCGGAATGTACCGCCAACTTATCCAGCACATGTTTTACACAGCGGATGCTCTTCCGACTGCAACCCATCACTGGGAAGCATCTATACACACTCATACACTACGGACAATTTAGCCTACCCAATTCACCTGAACCACATGTCTTTGGACTGTGGGGGAAACCGGAGCACCCGGAGGAAACCCATGCGAATGCAGGGAGAACATGCAAACTCCACACAGAAATGCCAACTGACCCAGCCGAGGCTTGAACCAGTGACCTTCTAGCTAAGAGGCAACAGCATTACCTGTGCGTCACTCTAAATACAATGTTCTCAGTGAATTTTAATTGTACAGCAAACAAAACCATGAATCTCCACAATAAATTAGTGCTTTTCCTGTATGTGTGGCGTCAGAGTTTTATAATGTATCTCTCTTCAGCTTAATAAGTTTATAACAAAATTTAAAAGTAGATAGACACTTCTAATACTCATCTCATGTGTGATGTCCTCTTTAAGATCTTTTACCATGTCTGTGGTTCAACTTTCGGTTCCGCTGTGAACATTTCATCTGCTCATCATGTGATGTATTTATAAATATAACTATGCAGAGCTGCATAATTTAGCAGCCAGTGGTCTATTCTTTGTGAATATGCTACACTAACAACTTGCTGCAGTTTGTAGTAAATATAGCAGCAGAGTTCATCTCTTATAGTTATAGTTATAGAACTTATAGTTCATCCTTAAATCAAAGTGTACTCACCATTTACTCACCTTAAGTGGTACCAAGCCTTTATGGATTATTTTTTTTTAATAAACATAAAATAATATGTTTTGAAAAATGTAAGAAACCTTTAACCGCTGACTTTTGTTGATGATTAAAGATTTTCAGCTTTATTCAGAATAATTTGTGTTTAACAAAAGAAAAAAGAGGTTTGTGACAAGTGAAGAATGAATAAATAATGACAGAATTTTCTTTTTTTTTTTGGGTAAACTATACCTCTAAGTTAAAAAAAGACTTACAATTCTGTTCTCAGGCACTATTTGTCAGCATTATTGTACTCAGTTGGTTTCTACAATATTCAGTTGCAGGTTTTCTGTCTCGCTCTTGTGGAGATGTTTTGGATTTACAGTCCTCAGATTATGGGGCTAATAATTCAGACTGCCAAAAACAGTCTGAATTTGAATTGTGTTAATTTGAATTATTGACAATTGTAATTTAAGAAATTAGACTTTTTATAAGCTGTTAAAAAATTGTTTTAAATTTGACTTTCATAATTTAAATTTGAATTTCTTAATGAATTTAATAACTTGAATATTGAACGTCTGAAATTTAAGATACCTGAATTTTTCAAGGATGAATTGTTTATAGGCGTATTTTCAAACTTCAAATTATTTGTGTGCTAAATTGACAGACTGCAGATATCCAGTTTGTAAAAATACAGTTTCAAATTTTAAAGATGAAGAAATTCAGAACATCAAATTCAATATCCCAAAATTCAAAACCAGAAATTCAGATTCAGCAGAAAGTAGGTCAGGAGTGATCAACAGGGAAGAGTAGACGATGACTGAAACTGAATACTCAATAACATCTCATTGGTTAATCAATTTTATTTAATCTTTTGGTGTTTTGAGGGATAAAAAGCTGATTCAGACCTATTCTGTAACCTCTGATGGGTTATTTCACACATTTTACATTAGGCTATATATATATATATATATATATATATATATATATATATATATATATATATATATATATATATATATATATATATATATATATATGCACACACACAAAAATACACAAATTTCCAGATTCCCTCCCTCATAATTCACATTTTTGAATTCATCCACAACCATGAATGAAATCAAGCAGAGGTGAGTGATTCTTAGTTTAACTTTTCGATGATCGTCTACTCTTCCCTGTTGGTCACCCATGACCTACTTTCTGCTGAATCTGAATTTCACAATCTGAATTTCTGGTTTAAAATTTTAGATTATTGAATGTGATGTTCTCAATTTCTTCATCTTCAAAACGTGAAACTCTCCTTCCAGCCACAACCCAGTACTGGAAAACACCCATACACACTCTCATTCACACACTCGTACACTACGGCCAATTTAGTTAATGTAATTCACTATTTTATTTAGACAAATGTTATGGATAAATTATTATAATCATTGATTCTGCTGATTCAGACGATTCACTATACTGTCATTTAACAGAAATGAACCTGTTCACAGACTAAATTATATCTCACAAGTGAAATGTTGTGTTGTGGTAAGTGACGGCATGATGTCTGATGTTGTGGGCTGAAGAATAACCTTTGTTCAGTTCTTAACATTTGTGTTGTTTCAGATGTTATTTTTGTTCTTCTTCTGAAACAGCAACTCATTACCACACACAAACACTCCACCGCAGACATGATTCAAACTCTCTTTCTCACTGGAGTTTTACTTCACATCTCAGGTAAACTACTATAATTCTTTCTGAATATCATTATTATTAAATTACTATATGGTTTGTTGTTCACTTCTTTCGTGTTCTTATACTTTAACTTACTAGTTATTGTTCAGTATGTAATGTGCAGTTTATGACTTATCTGTTTTGTTTTTATTCTACACTTAATCGTGTCAACAGATGGAGCTTGGATTGATAAACTGAATATAAAAGTGAAATCTGGATCTCCAGGCATTATTCCATGTCTATATGATGAACAATATAAAGAAAATCACAAGTATTGGTGTAGGGGGTCAGTTTGGAGCTCTTGCGTTATTATGGCGTATGCAAATGAAACAAGCAATACATTTTCCATCACTGATAACCCAGCGCAGAGTATCTTTACAGTGGAATGGCAGAATCTGCAGCCGTCTGACTCTGGATTTTACTGGTGCGCTGTGGAGATCGGTGGCTCTGAGACCCTGGATGCTGGTTATTATATGTATCTGACAGTACAATCAGGTAAAGGACATCTTCAATTTGGTTCCTTTATTATAAATTATTCAGTCCGTGTAAATAATTTTTTAACAATGGGATTGTGTAGATTGTGTTTAAAGTTTAATGACTGATGTGATGATTCATTAAAATTGCACATGGCATTTAAGTACTATAGGTCTACTGTATATGTAATTGTTGAGATATCATGTCTGTTCTTCTGTCAAATAATCACCAATCTGTCTGACTCTGATTTCCATAAATAATGTGTTTTTTAAACAGTTTCTCAAGTGAATCAGACCAAAAACTGCATTAAATGATTCATATTTTGATTCACTAAAGTAAGAGGTCTCCTATAAAAATCATTTGTTTAGTATGGATGGTTATAATTTATTAACACTCATTTCTTTCAGAAGTCAATTTGAGCAGTCCCTCTTCCTTTTTAAAAATAAGCAATAGCATTTTGTTCATATAGTATCAGCTCTGTCAGTCAGAATTGTTACAGACACTGTATATAATAGTAATAAAAAGTAAATAAAGTATAAAAAGTCAATCTTTAAACAGCAGTTTCTGCACTGCATGTAAAATACAGCATTTATATATTCCTATATAGTATGTCTGATAAATTGGTCTTGAACAACTCAAGCATGTGATCCATTCCTCATGTGTCCCCCACGGATGTTTCTGGAGACAGTGAAATACGTATCGGGAGGTACATATTTGTAAAGTTTTTGTTTTTGCGAATCCGTGAGAGGCCGCTATGCGCGCTTCTTCACTTCTCGATTGTCTCTCGGGAGCACGCTGTTCGCTCCTCCCCTATTCTCGCGTGAAAAGCCACTGGAGGCCGCTGTCGAGCGACCGACTGTCTGACTGACTGAATGACTGAACGATCGACTGGGCGACCCAGCCACCCTCCTCCTCCTTCCCTAAACTCAAGCGACGATTTATAAAAGCCGTTTTAGAAAAGAAAAGCCCTCATCCGATTTTGACCGAGTTTTTGGTTTTTGCCGCATTCGTTTGCTTTTAGTTTTTGGATTCTGTTTTTCATCTTGCATGATTTCTAGAACTGCTCATCCCCGGACTCGAACCCAGTCGTCGCCGTGGGCGACTCCTCCTCCCCCAGGCCTCCGCACCTCGGACGTAACACTACGAGCTAAGCGGACAAACTGGTAGCGCCAGGAAAACCCTCCACATGGAGCTGAGCCGTCTGCCGGCGAGCGCGAAGAAGAGGAGCGGCGTCACACCGCCCCGTATCGTTCGCTCGAAAAAAATTAAATGCGGCCATACATACCTCCGGCCACGTAAATCGCTGTCTCCAGAAATGTCCGCGGTGCTACGTTTCCAGAATGAGCCTGGGTTGATTGAAAGCCAAGTGTTCACTGCAAAAAAAAAAAACAAAAAAAGCTCTTTCTTAAATTTTTTTTCTCTAGTTTCTAGTCCATATATATATTTATATATATATATATATATATATATATATATATATATATATATATATATATATATATATATATATATATTTAAAAATCGTAAATCGAGAAGCTAGACAAGCAAAACATATTGTCTTGTGTTAAGAAAAAATAGGTCAAATTTAAGTGAGTTTTTGGCCTCGGACTTGGAGGTGCTGATTCTCATGCCAGCCCTGTCACACTTAGCAGCAAACTGCCCCAGTGCATGCTGAAGGTCCATGTTCGATGAAGCCAACAGGACAACACCATTTGCTGATATCAGAGATGAAGTCTTGGTGTTCCATGGTGAATCCGTGGAATCCATGGTGCTCCACTGGACAACGGTGGCTTTCCGTTTCCATGTTGGCTGGTCGATACCCCAGGTGGAGGTTTCAAGTATCTTGCGGTTTTGTTCACGAGTTAGGGAAAGATGGAACGTGTGATTGACAGGTGGATAGGTGCAATGGCAGCCATAATGCATTGAATGTATCGGTCCATTGTGGTAAAGAAGGAGCTGAGCTGAAAAGCAAAGCTCTCTATTTCAATCTACTTTCCGACTTTCACCTATGGTCATGAGCTTTGAGACATGACCGAAAGGACAAGATCTTGGATACAAGCGGCCAAAATGCTGAAGTGGCTCTGGCACTCCTGAACGCTTACCTAGGGAGGTTTTCCAGGCATGTTCCACTGAGAAGAGGAAGAAAATAATCTACCAATGGGGAAAGCACTATCTTGTTTTTCCTATTGGCATGCAATTACTTTGCTTACCATATTGGCAGATTTATTTGCTTGTTTTAAGGAAAAACTAAATTTTTACATTTTCTAAAAATAAAGCTTTTGCTTTATTAAATGTTTTAAATGTTTTGCTTGTATAAAAATGTTTTTTAAATCCTTCAGATTCAAGAATATTTAGATACTTGGACTAGAAGCAAGAAAAACAAATTGTAAATAAGAAATATTAATAAGTGAGACAATTAGTTTTGGCAGAGTTCTTATACTTTCACTTTATCTCAGTCAAGATATTTAGTCCTAGTATAGACCAAATACAAAGAACATTGACTGACAGCCTGTCTTTAATTTCGCCAGTCTGAAACAATGCTTGCATTTTTGCATTGAGGATGTTGTGTATCTGTGATGATTAGAGTATATTGGCTGCACACTGAAATCAACAGACTAAGCACTTGCTTTAAACCCTGAAGCAGAGGTGTTTATTTCAGCTGTTTATTTCTGTGCAGTAAAATGATGTATTTTCTTCTTGATTGTTTTCAGCTCCTGATGTGTCTGTGGTGAGCAGCAGTGTATCTGGATATGAAGGTGATGATGTCAGTGTCCAGTGTTTCTACAGTAATGTATACAGGAATAGAAAGAAACAGTGGTGCAAAATTAAAGATAAGAGCTGTAACTTAGTGAAGAGATCTGACACATACCAGTATTCATCAGTGCAGATCAGAGATTATGGTAAAAGCTCCTTCACTGTGCTGATGACTGGACTGAGACTCTCTGATTCTGGATGGTATTTCTGCTCTGCTGGAGATCTGCAGGTTCCTGTTCATCTCAGTCACTAAACCTATACCTAAAAGTAAGATAAGATTACAAACCACACAATTATGATTTCCTAATTCTGCTGTGAAAATTATGATTTTCTAAAAAAAAAAAAAATGCCTTTTTTGTTGTTCTTTTTTTTCCAACACCTATTCCAGCAACTACCACTAAGACAGAAACGTAAGTGTAAACATATTAATCAAACACATTCAAGTTTTAACAGAGTGTAAAAACAAGTGTATATACTGTATGCTGTTCATGTGAAATGTTATCAGTGAACTGTCACACTAATGTGTGTTTGTGAGTGATTTACTAAATCAGCCTAATCAATCGTGTATTCATTTCTATACTTATATTTTTCCATGACACAAATTGAACTGTGACATAACTATTATTTTTCTTTTTTTTTGCAGAAACACAACACAGCCATCTGCCAACACGACTCCTACAAATATGCAGACAATAAAAAGTAAGCAACAGCTAAATTGAATTAATCAGTAATTGTTAAAGAATTTTAAAAAATCTGAATTACACTTAAACAATCATAATGAGTTTAGCAGTTTAGTTATGTTTTACTGTACGCAATATTTTTTTAATAAATAACTGTAAATCATATAACTCATCTCATCAGTATGAACTTTAGCTCATAGGTTTTATAATTTAGCTCAAAAACATTTTATATTATTGATTTACAGTGTATATGTTTAATGTCTTCAATGTCTTCAAAAAAGCATAGTGAAAATATTGACACTTTTTGGACAGTTTAATATATATATATTATATTGTACTTATTTTTTTTCCCTTAATCATTAAACATTTTCTCATAGCCAATATCTATATCATATTGAATATTTGGACTGATTTTCTGGATAAGTCAGAGTTATGCACTAAAGAATTTATGAGGAGAAAACTGGATAATATCAGAATTTAATAAAAACGTAAAGTTCAAAGTTGCCTTCTGACTATTTTATTTAGCTTTTTGCGGAAACAGGCTTTTATACAGTTGCTTTAATGAAATGAACAACGTATTATTTATATTTTTTATCAATTTCTGCTACTAGCTGCAGCTTAAACTACTGAGTCAAGACGTGAAGCACACGTGTAAGTGTGAATATTATTATATATACTGTGAATATTATTAATAATTGATATTGTCATATTTATTTTTGTTTATTTATTATTGTAATGTAATTTTCAGTTCCAGAGACTCAGAGACTAACACTGGAAAAGACAACAAGAATGAACAAAACAAGTATTTAAGACTTTTTCAGTGTGCATTTGCTTGAATTAAGTCTCTATATTAGAAGCAAAATCTTCAAAGATGAACATGCTGTAATTGTTTATGATGTTAACAAACATGTCCCTACATCATCACAGGTATGCTTTGATTCTGATCATGTACCTTGTAACAACACTTATGGTTTTACTGCTTGTGGGTCTTTTTACCATAGTATTCTGCATGATGACAAATAATCCAGGTGAGTTCATTTATTTTTATCAATGATTTCATTATAACGTATGAGAAGAAACAGGCTGTAAAGTAACGTTTTACTGAGACAAAAAGGTCAAGCACACAGTTTAGTGTCATGATACAAACACACTTGACCACAGAATAATGTGACTGACCAATCAGAATTAAAGTACAAGAAAAGATCCATTGTGTGAAAAACATTTTAAAATCCCAAAGAACCTTTTTACACCACACAAAGTTTTATTTGATATATAATAAAATAATCTTTGAATCTTATTTTGACAGAAAAGGATCAGATTAACAGCACCATAAATACTGTAAGTGTTTTAGAATATACAGTAACTGACATAAACTGATGCAGTTGAGAAGTTCTGTGGAAATAAATTTGAACATAAATGTATCAAATTAGTTCAGCGTTTAAATCTGTGTTTGCTGCAGATGCCCTCTGAAAACCAAATGACATCTATCAGTCCTGCAGAAGCTGATGTAAGTCCTCATCCTTCATTCTGTCTGCTTTACAACTCTCAGAAGACACTGACATGCTGAACTTAGATCAGTGATGGTCAGTTGTGTTTGTTCACAGTCTTCTGCTGACGATGCTTCAGTGCTTTACAGTCCTGTCTCCTTTACTAAGACAGTAAGTGTCTCTGAGATTTTCAACACTGTGATGTGTGTCAGTAGTTCTGGCTGGAATTGTCTGTTAGCCCAGTTCATAAGCCTAGTATTAAAAAAAAAATGTTCATTTGTTGAATTTCCATTATGTGACTCTTATAGCACTGACAGGATTGTGGGACAGAAATTATGTGTTTTGCAATTAAACAGTGTTGTGCAAACTCTCTTAGATCTGATCATGTTTTTCACAGCGTTTATCATCAGTGGATCCAGAAGCTGATGTGATTTACAGTGCTGTGGCATAAAAGTGCAAACATGTGAGTTTATAACATACAGACAAAAAAAAAAAAAAAATGGATCCTTCATGTTTTATGTGGTAGTTGAGGTGCTACTGTATTTGGAGCTGCTGAGAGGCGCTTCGGCTCGTAGCCAAATCAAGTACTATATTGCAGCAGATTTGGTGCTGTAGTTTCTTAGTATTTTGTTCTTTGTGGTAGTTTAGGTGCTACATTATCTTTAGATCAAAAGGTGTTACAATGCAAATGTTACGATAACCAGCGATCGTTCTCCGGAGATCGCTGGTTTCCACTATACTTGAACTTCACTTCCGCATTTCCCAGGACTACATATTCATACATGCACTGCTCCCAGACACCCATGCTCATTCATCTAGCTTGATTGCACACACCAGCTGAACCTTGTCATAGTCTGATAGCACACCATACATAAGCCACTCATGAACCCATCCAGTTTGCAGAGTCTAGTTTTCCCAGTGTGACATTACAATGCGTTTCTCCTTGTCTTGCTTTCTCCGTGTTTAGACCCTAGCCTTGTTTACCCTTGTTCTCTAGTTTAGCCGCCTGCCTTTTGACCTGTTACCTGTTTATACCGATTACGATTCTGGACTGCCTTAACATACCCGTTTGCACCTGTATGACCACTGCTTGCCTGACGCTGAATGAACCTGCATATTGGATCTTACCTTCTGTTGTGAGTGTCACTCCACCCAGTCGTTACAGCAAACATGTTTTGTCTTATTTTATACTTAAATCAAGAAGCATCTTCTAGACAAGCAAAACATATTGACGAGTTGTCAGAGATAATACCAAAATTAAGAGCTGTGGCACTTTATTTTTTTTTTGTGTGTGTCAAAAGGAAAAACAAGATGTTTTGCTTACTCTGTTGATCCATAATTTTGCTTGTTTTAAGTAAAAACTCAATTATGCAATATTATGCCATAAAACAAGACAGTATTTGTTGCTTGTCTAGAAAATGCATCTTGATTTAAAGGGCACCTATAGTGAAAAATCTACTTTTCAAGCTGTTTGGACAGACATATGTGTGCAAGTATAGTGTGCAGACCATCATATTGGGGTGAAATAAACACACCCATTCTTTTTTTTAAATTTAACAACATAAAAACAGTGGACCAATTAGAGCGGTTTTCAGACCAACCGTAACTTGACGTAGGAGTGTGGTTCCCCGCCCACCGAATTGATTAACAGCGTCACAAAGCATGTCCCAGTAGCCACGTGTATAATCATGTCAACAAGACAGGACGAGCGCGAAGCAACCAGGAATAAAAGGTCTGTTCCGTTCGCTAGGATCATCAATCATCATTAAATGTGTTCAAGAGTGAGTTTTACTTGTTTAAAATGTTTTAAAACAGAGCATGTGTGTAATGAAGTACAGCGATTTACTTTAGCTTTACTTCATCAGCACAGCCGCGTGTCAAATCAATTATAAAGGAAGACGCTTCAATCCTGGTTTGTGGATGTTAAATCAGGTTGATTTTGTACAATAACATAAGAGATATCCATACAGCAGTGGAGATTAGCCTGTATCCTGACACATTTGCCTGCAAAAACAGTGCAAAGCTAAGCGAGCTTTGTCTGTCTGTCTGTGGCCCCGTTTACACTAGTGCGTTTTTAGTTTTAAAACGGCGTTTTAGATCAAAAACAATCCGCAACCACACTAGCGTTTCACCTAGCGTTTCTGAACATATCTCGGTCCACACTACGCCACCAAAAACGTATATCACTTGACCATTCGCACTCTCTGGGCATGCGCGTTCTAGTATAAACAGGAAGCATGCATTTCGCTCGGCATTTGGTTATTGTTAGTCAACAAACGCCGGTTGAACATTAAACACGATGGCAAAGAAAGCAAGAGAGGTATTTTTGTGGACAGACGACGAGGTCGAGTTGTTACTAAACGTAACAAATGAATAACTGCACAATGGCACCTAAAATAGACAATAGTGCAAACAACGCTCCCATTTCTGTGCCCATGTTGTTGCTTACAGCACTGTTTTTCGGTAGCGTTAAAGACATGTGTTATAGTCATGTGATAGAGGCTTGACGAATAAGGGAGGGAAACAGTGACAAAGGCAATGACACAAAAGCGAATCTAAGCAGCCCAGCCTCCGTTTTCAGATGTCTACGTTTTTCCTCATCCACACTAAGATGGAGCAGCAGCGTTTCAGAATGAATATGGCCTCTCCAGGTTTCCAAAACGCTCTGTTTTTGGTGCTCGAGAACTCCGGCGTAGTGTGGACGGATGGCGTAACCGTAGCAAAACTTATGCGTTTTAAAACGAAAACTCATTAGTGTAAACGGGGCCTGTGTGTGTGTGTGTGTGTGTGTGTGTGTGTCTCCTGCGATGTGTGTGTGCATGTGTATCTGTGTGTGTGTGCACGTGAACTTTGTAACGATATTGGGTGTCACTCATCAATGCAACTGCACAACAAATACTCATTGGTAAAGTTCTTACTGTAGTATTTCTCACAAACGCTGCATGAGATCTTCTTCCCTTAAGTCTGTCTGTTGTCTGACGCAGCCGAGGGAGGAGATTTAAGGCACGCTGTCAGGCACATAGAAACAGTAGGCGGGGAGTACGACAAAATGACCCCCTTGGTGGAAAGATGTATAAAACAGGATCTATTAAAAGATATAATGAAAAATCTGATGGGTGTTTTGAGCTGAAACTTTACATGCACATTCTAGAGACGCAAAACACTTGTATTAAATTTGAAAAAAGGGGTAACTTAGGTGCCCATTAAGATTTTTTAGATATTTAGACTAGAAGCAAGACATAAAAATCTAAGTAAGAAAAGCAGTTTTTGCTGTGTATGTACTACTTAAAATGAAGTGAATTTGAATAAATTATGCACAAATAAAGAGGAACTGCTCTTTATTATAGCAGTTAAAATAATGAATGATTCTCGGTTGCAGTGCCTAAAGTTTAATGCAGATGATAAATGTAAATGTTTCAAATTTGTCAGCTGACATTCATAATGAATTGAATACTGTAACCTTATGACAAACATTTGTTCCTGTGTCTGTTTAAGGGAATAATGCAGAGCTAATTCAAGACAAAATGGAGGATGAAGGCGACACATCATCATTTTAGAAGAAGATGCATCCTTCTGTAATATTTTTCTCATCTATAATCTTAAATCCAAATTATCCTAAAGAAAATTAACCAGTTTAGTTTTGCTGCAAAATAAAACCATAGCAGAAGAAACAAACCTTTGACTTAATTTGAGTTTGACTCCCCTGTTTTAGAGTGTAGTTTACATGAATACAGTTTTGCTATATTTTGGTAAATGACTGAAAAATATTCTATGTGGATTTTAATTGTACAGTAAACAAAAACACGAGTATCCACAATAAATTGGTGTGATTTTTCATCTACTGTATGTGTGGTGTCATTTGTTGGTAATTTTTACCTCTTACACCCAAAATATGAGCAATATCTGTATCAGAGCTTTATAGTGTACCTCTTTTCTGCTTAGTAACATTATGGGCCCTACCATACACCCGGCGCAGTGTGGCACAAGGCGCGGCGCAATAGTCTTGTGGTAGTTTCAGGTTGGTGCAAGAGTCGTTTTGAGGCGTTGCGCTACGCTGTTTAAATAGCAATTGTGCGCCCATAGGCGTTCTGGTCTTAAAAGGAAGGCGTTCTGAGGCGGACCGCTGGCGCGTTGCTATTTTGAGAAACTAAAATAGATTTTTCAATAGACCAAAACTAACCCGGTCTAAACTCGCTTACACACTGCTTAATAGCACAAGAGAGCAATAGGCAAATATCTTTACTTATGAAAAAATGTAAATATTAAGGATATATATAGGATATAATAAGAATAGATATAAAATATAAATATAAAGGATTAAAATATTACAAAACATATTATTTTCTAGCCTTCATAAATATGAAAAATCACAGCTTTTATGTCTTTTTCATCTCGGGAGGCTTATTCAGTTCATTCATAACAATTTGCTTTTGTATAATGTTGTTATTATTATTATTAGCAGTATTATTTAATATATCCATATTTATATTTGTTTTAATAAAAACAAGCTTAGATTTGCCCACCTGTCAGGTTTTAGACCATATGGGGCACAGCATGTGTTTTAGGATATAACTCAGGTTTTTGAGCACATTTTGTTATTATTATTCATTTATTCGTTTGCTGGAAATTAGAACTGAATTTAGAAATAGTTTTGAAACAAATATTTGAGCTTAACAAACAAAATTATTTATTTATAGACTAATTGATGTCTTGGATAGGTTTCCCTATCCAAGAGCGAAAGTGAAAGTAGTTCCATTATCTCTCATTCTCACGCAGTAGAGAATGTTTCCACTTAGAAAAACAGTTTCCACTTAGACTTACTTTGCGTCCTGTAAATAGCGAATGTGCTCTTGGCGCTACGCAGCTGGGTCTTAAAGGTAATGGGAGATGAGACTCTAATTGGTTTATTCTCAAAACACACCTATAACTCATTAAGAAAATAAACTTTACCCTTTTAAACCATTTCCATCCTTAAATTAGCAAAAACGCGATCTGACATGCCCTGAAAGTGTTTGCGCCCTGCGTTTTGCGTTCTGCGCATGGACCGTCAAAATAGAGCCCTATATTAGCAATAAATTAAACAGTCACATTTTTAAAAACACCCAATCCACATGAAAATGCTAAAATGCACTGTGATGCTTGTTATTGGCACACCAACCCACAAGGTGGCGATAATGACACCATTATGCTGAGTTCACACCAAACAGGTAATTAAAGGGCCATGACACCCCCCCACTTTCACAAATTTGTGGCCGTTTGAATATGGAATAAAATCTCTGTCATATTATATTCATAAATACAATTTATGCATCTGCAATTATGAAAACATAAAGGAAAACAGAACGTACTCATTTTACAAGGGTACAATACCAAAATCTGCGATTAGGACAGACACAGATACAACATTTCTTCAAAAGAGCGACACTTCACTGTGAAAATTACATCATTGCTGTCACAGGCATTAATAAACAAGCGAGAGCCATCGAGTGCAAACAGTGTGCCTTGCGTGATGAGACCCTGGTTGAAATTTATGGTTGAAACGTCAAGCGATCTGTTTTGTCACAACAGAAATGTACAGCAATAAATTATATAAAGGGAAAATGAAAAAACAAATGAGATGATGTTTTGAGTATAGCCTAGACACGAACGCACGCACACACTGACATTTAGAGCTCTATTTTAACGGCTTATACGCAAAGCGCAGGACGCAAACGCTTTCAGGCTTGTCAGAATGCATTTTTGCTAATTTAAGGACGGGAAAATCCGCTTTGCGCCTTGGCGCATGGTTTAAAAGGGTTGAGCTTATTTTCTTAATGAGTTATAGGTGTGTTTTGAGAATAAAACAATCAGAGTCTCATCTCCCATTACCTTTAAGAGCCAGCTGCGTCGCACCATATGCACATTTACATGACGTAAAGTAAGTTCACTTTCACTTTTGCTCTTCTGAGTAGGGAAGCCTTTACTCACAGACATCAATTAGCCTAAATAATTAATTTCGTTTGTTAAGCGCAAAGATTTGTTTCAAAACTATTTCTAAATTCAGTTCTAATTTCTAGCAAACGAATAAATGAACAATAATAACAAAATGTGCTCAAAAACCTGAGTTATATCCTAAAACACATGCTGTGCCCCATATGGTCTAAAACCTGCAGGTGGGCAAATCTAAGCTTGTTTTTAATAAAACAAATATAAATATGGATATAATAAATAATACTGCTAATAATAATAACATTATACAAAAGCTAATTATTATGAATGAACTAAAAAAGCCTCACGAGATAAAGAAGACATGAAAGCAGTGATTTTTCATATTTATGTAGGCTAGAAAATAATATGTTTTGTAATATTTTAATCCTTTATATTTAATTCCTATATATATTGTTATTATATCCTACATATATATATATATATATATATATATATATATATATATATATATATATATATATATATATATATACATATCCTTAATATTTGAATTTTTTCATATGTAAAGATATTTGCGTATTGCTCTACATCTTGTGTGTAGGCTATAAAGCAGTGCGTAAGCGAGGTGAAACTCTGCGTTAGACTTTAGACCGGGTTTGTTTTGGTCTAATGAAAAATCTATTATAGTTTCTCAAAATAGCGACGCGCCAGCGGTCTGCCTCAGAACCAGGACCAGGACGCCTATGGACGCACAAATGAGCGCTAATGCATTTGCTATTTAAACAGCGTGGCACAACGCCTCAAAACGACTCTTGCTCCAAGCTGAAACTAAGAAACAAGTATTGCGCGCGCCTTGCGCCACATTGCGCCGCGTGCATGATAGGGCCCTTAATGTTTAATATAATGTTCAGTCTCTTGTACAGACTGAAATTTTGGACATGCAAATTTAATCTCTTCTAATATGGGATTATTATTGTCTCGATATTATTTGCGAATACACATGAATGCAAATGCAATACTTCCTTTTGCACACATAATTAAGATGCATGAATGCAAATAATAATATTTGTTTTCACAAACATATTTATGTTTGAGCAAATCTGAAAGCAAATCGGGTTTAAAGCTATTTGTTTGTGGATGTAAAAATGGATATGCAATGCAACATTGATAGAGCGCGTGGATGACACAGCTTGCATCCACAAATAATATGGAGACAATAATCATCCAATATTCAAGGTGCTACATGTATTATTTTAATCAGCAGATGTCGCTCAGAAACATCTTAAACTAAAGTTAAAGTTCCAGAAGCATCCAACAGGGGAATTTATAACTCTTTTACTCCACACTGAGAAAAATACAGCTACAGACTCTTCTGAATGCCATCACAACTTTTTTTGTGGATGCGTGTGTGTTTTAGCATGTTATTATTTTCTTTTGCTGATGTTATGAACTTCATCAATGTTTTATTTTAAGGAGGACTCAGATAAATTAACAGATCTGAGGTTCAAAACTGTTGAAAATTCAAAGCTTTTCAATCAACTGTGTAGAGTATGATGAGTGTTTTTCTCTCACTCACTTTCTGTCTTTAAAAGAAAGTGCTAAGATCTTCATATTTAAAATACTGGTTTAAAAAAAAAACTCCGCTAATTTAATTATGTGTGTAGTTTTGTTGTTGTCCTCTTCATGGCGCTGTAATACAATTGGAGCACTAGGGTGAACGTTAATAAAAGATAAACACAGAACCTGAACATGGTAAAAATAGTATTGAGCTAGAAATGTGATTTTGCAGAACGAACAATGAGGAAATGCTGTTTTTTGCTATTGTCAGAAATTTGTCAGTGTGGAATTACGATTTTTATGTAATGAATCAAGAATTTAAAATAAAAAGAACATTTTCACAATTAAAATAACATTTCTAGTTTTGTGGATGCAGCTTGACACTTGTGCTTTAAGTTTAAAGCACTCATCTGCTCATTTCATCATTAGCCTGTTCACAAACTGAAAACTTGAGCAGTGAGATGTTGTTGTGTTGATGTGTTGATGTGTCGCTGGCAGCAGAATGACTATTTTGCTTATTTGTTCACACTTTTGTGGTGCAAAGTGTATTTCTGAACTTCCTCTAAAACCGGAGACTATAATGAAGAGATCAGCTCTCTCTCACACACACACACACACCTCTGCAGACATGATTTACACTCTGATTCTTTCTGGGGTTTTACTTCACATTGGAGGTAAATAATTATAATTATTTTAAAATTTCATTGTTACACTATTATATGGTCTGTAGTTTACTTGATGTGTTACAGTTGTTTACTTTGATGTTAGTTATTCTTTAGTTTACATTTACTTCATTAGTGTGTGCTTGCAGATAGTGAGTGTGTTTATGTTTTTCCTATACACTTAATCTTGTCTACAGATGGAGTTTGGATTAATAAACTGAATATAGGAGTGAAATCTGGATCTCCAGGCATTATTCCATGTCTATATGATGAACAATATAAAGAACACCAGAAGTTTTGGTGTTGGGGGACATTTTTTAGCACTTGCTCTATATTGGCTTATGTAAATGAAACAAGAAATAAATTCTCCATCACTGATTATCCAGCACAGAGTATCTTTACAGTGGAATGGCAGAATCTGCAGCTGTCAGACTCTTCATATTACTGGTGCGTTGTGGAGATCGGTGGTCCTGGGACACTAGACGCTGGTTATTATTTGTATCTGACGGTACAATCAGGTAAAGAACATTTTTCAAAATCTGTATTATTTCTGATGAACAAATAATGTAAAAGGTTTTGTTATGTGTGCTAGAGGTTTATTTTTGTTCACACAAGTGAAAAAGGAGAACAAGTTGAGCGTAGGATGTGCGATGACTAATGAAAAAACACAAAGTGTGTTTCGACTACTGCAGGTCTATATAATTGTTGCGATCTCATGACTGTTCTTTTGTCAAGAAGAAGGTTCAGCCTCAAACAGGCAAAAGTATCTGGATACAGCCTTTATGATGCAAGCTGAGACTGCATCACTCAGCGATGCAATGTCAGACACAATGCAGTCAATGGAGTGAGTGACGTCACTGTGACGGGTTAGGGGTGGGGTTAGGTGAGCGCATTAAAAAGCATTGGATGCAGCTCAGATTGCACAGCACCAGTCTGCATCCAAACCCCTTTCCAAACAAGTCACAGACAAGATGCAGATCAAATTACAGAGTCTTGTGGGAAGTGTTTCTGGCTCTGGATGCTCTGAATGCAGCATAACAATCCAACATTATGCATTTGTCTTTACTTCTAAGAGCTAAGGCTTGCATCTTTGCATTGTGATCTTGCGTATCTGTGATGATTATATTGTCTTTGTGCTGAAATAAACATACAGTAGTTTAAACTCACTCACTACTCACATGCTCTAAAGCAGTGTATGAGTGGCAGTGTGTTCACAGCTGTTTATTTCTGATTGCTGCACTCTCGACTCCTGGGTATCCTGTATACTTTAATAACCACTCCACCTTTTTTGAAAAAGGCTCCTAGAGGTAAACAGCTGACTTGGACCATCTTTGAATACATTCAGCTGATTTCTGGTATGGTCATTATTAGCTTAGTTTAGCATAATCTATTGAATCAAATTTCACCATTAAGATTTCATTCATTTTTGACAATTTTCCTATTCAAACTTTGAGGCATCTGTATTTTCATCATATAATAAGACCAACCATCAATCATCCACAGCTATTAGTAATCAGTAATGTATATTTATAAAAAAATAAATAATAAATAATTGCATGGAATATAGCATAGCTTATTTCCCAGAGATAGGTTGCGGCTGGAAGGGCATCCGCTGCGTAAAAACGTGTTGGATAAGTTGGTGGTTCATACAGCTGTGGTGACCCCGGATTAGAAAAGGGACTAAGCCGACAAGAAAATAAATGAATGAGAGAGCATAACCTAGAGCAAGGGCGCCTGCAAGATTTTGTTGCAAAGTACGCACACATCCGCTACAATACACTGAAAGATCGCTCTGCAGAGGGCGTGGACACTGGCATAGTTTGGAGGACTTTCCGTATATAATGCAAATTTGGGAAAAATTCCGCCATGTTCTTCAAAACCCCCCACATGTCATTGCTGCTGCGTGTTGTAACATTAAACTGCCTCCACCGCTCCAATCCAACATCAGCACTATCTAGATTTTGCATCAGTGTTCCGTAGTTGGGTTTTGCAAACTGTTGCTAAGAAGCGTCAGATATTGTAGTAATCCCTGAATCGCAATAATGCTAATAATGAAATCGAATAACTCCATTGTTCTGCCTAGAGACATCGCTGTGTTGCAGATCCTGGGGTCCCCCTCAGTCTTCAGTTGATCCATTGTCACATAGATGTACTAGTTTTGGATGACAGTGCTAATGCACACATAGTGCTGAGACCAGCGCATGTCTGAAAACTTTTTTAAACGTTGTTTTGTGCTGCTTTCACCTAAAAAGGTTTGCAGCCGTTTTAGAGAAGCTGAACGACACGTTGTCTTGTACAGCATTCAATGTATTTCTATCCAAATGGATGCATGCTGAGTGCTCTATTGCTAAATTAAGCGCATGGTTTCTGCAATGCAAGCAAGCGGCAGCCGGATACAGCTGTTTAATGTGGGCTTGAACACCTCACACCTTGCCACTTACGTTTCCAGCCCCATCATACCGCTGTCCCACCATATGGCAAGGTTGTAATTTCATTTCAGTGATTTTGTTAGCATCTCGCCAGTAGTATCAGCAGTGGAAACGAAGCATAAAAAGTCCTCTCAATTAGCTGCTGGATCGTCCGATAAAGGCTGGGCCTGAAGTTCCAATGGCTCAGGTGCTGAGACTGTGGTCTCCACACCGTGTGGGGAATCAATATTCGTCTCATTATTTTAGGCCTTTTGGCAAATGTCTCAATTGTTTTAGCTGTTTTAAGGAGCGTTAACTCATTTCAAATCTTGCTTTAAACAATAGCTATCTGACTTGTAATTTTTAGTGTGTGGAAAAACCGCCAAAAAACTAAAGCCAATAGATTTCTTTTTACTCATAGCCCACCATGCAAACAGGCTACATCCACTTTAAAACATACAAATGCACACTTTTATTTATTCTCATTCTCACTTGCTTTGTCATTACATCGTAATGTACACATTTAAATAATCAATTTAAATTATGTAAAAAATAAATAAATAAATCTTTGTATTGTTCATTGTTTTTTATATATCTGTCTGTGCATATATAAAACTTTTATAATATATTTTATTAAGAAAATTCAGGACACCTCAGAATGTTAATTTGAATAAAACTTATTTTTATTCTGAAGTGGAGGCATTGTGTTTTGAGTGTCAGTGTGTTTACCGTTGTTTGTTTCTGTGTAGTAATAAATCTTATTGTCTGCTGTGTGTGTTTCAGCTCCTGATTTGTCTGTGATGAACAGCAGTGTATCTGGACATGAAGGTGGTAATGTTAGTGTTCAGTGTTTCTACAGTTCTGGATATAAGAATAAAACCAAACAGTGGTGCAGAGTTAAAGATAAGAGCTGTTTCCCAGAGAATAAGACAGACACATTCCAGAATTCATCAGTGCAGATCAGTGATGATGGTGAAAGCTGCTTCACTGTGCTGATGACTGGACTGACACTCTCTGATTCTGGATGGTATTTCTGCTCTGCTGGAAATCTGCAGGTTCCTGTTCAACTCACTGTCACTAAACCTGAACCCAAAGGTAAGATCACAAACCATAAATGACGTCCCTCTTAAAGTCTTAAAACTAACAATGTTTTCTTCTCTCCTTTCACACTGTGACAACTATTCCATCAATTCCAACATCTGCCTCTGGAACAGACCTGTAGGTGTAAACATTTATAATATTTAAAAGAGTAAAACTCAATGATTGTAGCCAGACCATTTTAATACAACCTGTTAAAGTTGAATCAGAGCTGTGTATAATAACATTTTATTATTAACAACATCAATGTTGTTGTATATGTCTAATGTGATTCTATAGTTATTTATTGGAAGCTCTCATATTTCTTTATCTTGTTTTACAGGTACACAACACAGCCGTCAGCCAAACAAATTCCTACAAGTAATAAACTAAATGATAAGCAGCATTGTTTTTAATACTATTATAATTTCTTATTTTTAGTATTGAATCTAAAATGACTTATCTAATCTAATTCACAATAAACTTGATAATTATAACTTTAAAATTCATGCACTATATAAAGATTTGCATGATTAAAACTGAGATGAAAATCATGATCAAATTTCCACTAAAAAAACAAACACTATGATCAAACTAATGAATCTTTTTTTTTGTGCCTTTTACAGCAGTTTTGACTACCGTTTCAAGACCCGGGACAAACATGTAAGTGTTATTTATTGCTAAATTATTCTTTAAGCTTGTTATTCAATCATTCAAAATGAGATATAGTAACAATTTTATTGCAGAAATATATAGTGCACCAGTTAAGGGCAGACAGTAGGTTTGAACATTGAGGGGTTGAAGTGTGTCATTTTTGGTAAACGAACCTTTTAAGAATGTAAAGTTTAGAATTTTGGGGAAAAGGTGGGCATTTTTGCTCATGTGATATTGCAGAATGTGTATAACTCTTCTGGCATGAACAAAAATGATGCTGATGATTACTGAACCTACACTTTTGTTATTTTACAATGAATCTGCTACACGGCTTTAACTAGATTATATGAGAAATAATGTACATTTACTTTCATTTTAAAGATTTATTTCTCTATATATTCATTCATTCATTCATTCATTCATTTTCTTTTCGGCTGAGCCCCTTTATTATTCTGGGGTCGCCACAGCTACAGTCAGTTTTAGCATAACCAGTTCATCTATACCGCATGTCTTTGGACTTTGTGGGGAAAACCGGAACACCCGGAGGAAACCCTCATGAACAATGGAAGAACATGCAAACTCCACACAGAAATGCCAACTGACCCAGCCGAGGCTTGAACCAGCGACCTTCTTGCTGTGAGGCTAACGTGCTACCCACTGCCCCACTGCATTGCCTTCTCTATATGTTAATATTTATTATATATTATAATATTTTAGACTAATAAAATTTCAATAAAAGTTGCTTTGTTGAACTGTAGAGTTGAATTTTCCACAACAAAAGTCGACAAAACAGAGAAAATCGACAAAATACTTGTGAATTACAAAATACAGAAACTATTATTTAACCGATTTTTTACAGCGTATAATGTAGAAACAGCTGGTTGCGTTACTATAATTTTATCATCTAAAAATAATATTCTTATACCTCTTTCTCTGTCTATATTTGATTATTTTAAATGTCCTTTCTTGAAAGCACTTTAAATGATCACCCAGTTGTTGGGTGTTAAAAAAACAGAGAAAAGAATAAAAACTTTAATGACAAACTCACAAAATTATAATCAATTAACAATATATCCCCCACAAACTACGCCCAGATGACAACAACATTTAGGCAAGGCAAAAGGCAAAAGGGTAAAGGCAAAGTTCAATTATATAGCACATTTTATACACTGTGGGAATTCAAATTGCTTTATATAAACAAGAATAAAAAAGACAAGTATAAAAAAATAAAAGCAAACAATAATACAATGATTAAAAACAAGTTAAAACAAGATAAGTTTATAAAAGAAAAAAAAAGAAAAGAAAGACATAATAGTGCGATCTGTCGGACATAGCACAGTGCTCATTCAGTAAAGACACAGCTAAACAGATGTGTTTTCAGTCTTGATTTGAATGTGTCTTTTGTTGGAGCACATCTGATCATTTCTGGAAGCTGATTCCAGCAGCGAGGGGCATAGTATACTATAGCTGAAGGCTGATTCACACTGAACTCTTGAAACGTCTAGTTTATATGATCCTAATGATCTGAGTGATCTGTTAGCTTTGTATTCAGTAAGCATATCTGTAATGTATTGAGGTCCTAGGCCATTTAGTGATTTATGGACAAGTAATCAAACTTTAAAATCTATTCTGAATGTAACTGGGTGCCAGGGTAAAGACCTGAGGACCGGTGTGATGTGCTCTAGTATGTGGATTTACTAATTGCTTTGACTTTGACTATTGAAGCTCAGATCTGACTCCAGAGTCACACCAAGATTCTTGACCTTATTTTTTGTCGTTTGACCTTTAGAGCCAAGGTATGCATTCACTTTGAGAACCTCATCTCTGTTCCCAAACGCAGTGACTTCAGTTTTCTCTTTGTTTAGCTGAAGAAAGTTTTGGCACACCCAACTGTTCATTTCATCAATGCACTGGCAGAGGGTGTCAATGGGGCTGTAGTCATCAGGCAGTAAGGCTAGGTAGATCTGAGTGTCATCAGCATAGCTGTGTGTGAACAGTAGGGCTCTGTTTTATCGATCTAGGTGCATAGTCTAAAGCACAGGGCGCAAAAGCATTCAGGGCAAGTCTAAACCCACTTTTGCTTTTTTAAGGATAAAAATACACTCTGCGCCCTGGTGCATGGTCTAACAGGGTTGTGCTTCTTCTTTTAAAGAGTTATGAGTGTGTTTTGAGCATAATGTGCAATAAACCAATTAAAGTCTCATCTCCCATTCTCTTTAAGAGTCAGTTGCGTCATGTCATGGCACATTTGCTGTTTACATCGCGACTTTGTAAAAGGAAAAACTGAATGCTTCACTAGCGAGAAAACAGTTAAACAGACCATCTGCAGCGCGAGGATAAAGAACGAGCCTCCTTCATTAAGCCTCTTGAACAATTATTATTGTAAACAATAATAATGAAGTGTGGTCAAAAAAACATATTTATATTCAAACACACATCCTAATCTTATGCCCCATATGGCGATGCAGACATCTCCAAAAACCGATTGACAAATCTAAACTTGTTTCTATTAAACAAATATAAATATGCATATAATAAATAATTTACATTTACATTTACATTTAGTCATTTAGCAGACGCTTTTATCCAAAGCGACTTACAAATGAGGACAAGGGAGCCGTTTACACAACCAAGAGCAACAATGAATAAGTACTAAAGGCAAGTTTCAGGTCTGTAAAGTCTAAGAAGGGAAGTGTTAGTAGTTTTTTTTTTTTTTTTTTTTTTTTTTTTTTGTACAATTAGTGTGATATTCAAAGAGGCAATTGCAGCTTAGGAAGTGAAGTGGAGACTAAATAGTTGAGTTTTTAGTCGTTTCTTGAAAATAGCGAGTGACTCTGCTGTTCTGATGCAGTTAGGGAGTTCATTCCACCAACTGGGCAGATTGAGCGTGAGCGTTCGCGAAAGTGATTTTTTCCCTCTTTGGGATGGAACCACGAGGCGACGTTCATTCACAGAACGCAAGTTTCTGGAGGGCACATAGATCTGCAGAAGTGAGTGCAGATAAGAAGGTGCTAGGCCAGAAGTCACTTTGTAGGCAAACATCAGAGTTTTGAATTTGATGCGAGCAGCAACTGGCAGCCAGTGCAAACGGACTAGCAGTGGAGTGACATGTGCTCGTTTAGGTTCATTGAAGACAACTCGTGCTGCTGCATTCTGGAGCAGTTGAAGAGGCTTGATAGAGTTAGCTGGAAGCCCAGCTAGTAGAGAGTTGCAGTAATCCAGTTTGGAGAGAACAAGAGCTTGAACAAGGAGTTGAGCTGCATGTTCAGATAAGAAGGGTCGGATCTTTCTGATGTTATAGAGTGCAAATCTGCACGATCGAGCAGTTCTAGAAATGTGGTCAGAGAAGTTTAGTTGGTCATCAATCGTTACTCCAAGGCTTTTCACCATTTTGGATGCAGTAATGGTTGCCCCATCCATCTGGATTGAAAAGTTATGGTGTAGAGTCGGGTTGGCAGAAACTACAAGCATTTCCGTTTTTGCGAGGTTCAGCTGAAGATGATGATCTTTCATCCAGTGTGAAATATCCAACAGGCAGGCTGAGATACGAGCTGGAACCGAGGGATCATCAGGATGAAAAGAGAGGTATAGCTGGGTGTCATCAGCATAGCAGTGGTAGGAGAATCCATGTCTCTGGATGACTGGTCCTAGAGATGATGTGTAGATGGAGAAGAGAAGTGGCCCAAGAACAGAGCCTTGAGGTACCCCAGTGTTTAGATGCTGTAGGTTGGACACCTCTCCCCTCCAAGCCACCCTGAATGACCTGTCAGAGAGGTAAGATCTAAACCATTGTATAACAGTGCCCGCAACGCCCAGTGACTCAAGCGTAGATAGCAGGATCTGGTGGTTGACAGTGTCAAAAGCAGCTGACAAGTCCAGCAAAATGAGGACTGATGATTTTGAGTCTGCTTTAGCCAGTCTGAGATCCTCCACGACCGAGAGCAGGGCAGTCTCAGTTGAGTGGCCTTTCTTAAAGCCGGATTGCTTGTTGTCCATGAGATTGTTTTGAGTAAGAATATATAAATAATACTGCAAATCATAAAAATAACATTATACAAAAGCAAATTGTCACCCCCCAAGGTGAAGGTTTTAATAATTATATAGAAAATAATAATTTTTGGAACATTTTACTCCTTTATTTTTATTTACATTTAAATATGTGTGTATTAAGCAATGTGTAAGCATTTGGACCCGAACATGTGCATAACGAACGTGTTTTTCAGTTACTTGAAATAACAACATGCCAACAATGTGCCTTAACACACTTCCTTTATAAACCAGAACACCCATGAGTCCACAAAGTGGGGCAAATGGATTTGCTATTTAAACAACGTGGCACAAAATGTGAAAATTATGGTTGTGCTGGTCTGAAAATAGCAACAAATCACACCAAACATGTCTTGTGCCTTATTGCGATGGTTGTATAATAGACCCTAAGTTTTTTTACATTTTAAGGTTAAAATGTTTCCCAAATCTAGTTGATGTGACTGAAATATATTTACTTTTCTCTTCTGATGTGTTTTAATCTTTCAGACTGAACAAGGAGCATTTCTGTCTGTCAAAGGCCTAGATGTGATTCTCTATCTCACCCTGAAGAATCAGAGAATTAGAAAAGTGTTGATTAATAATATTCTATATTTGCTTTATGCTTATTTATCAGAGTAAAAAACAAAATGTAAAGTTTACTTTAAAGTACTCAAGGCCACTAAAACAATGTTTTGTTGAACTGTGTAACTCCATTATCCTAAATGTGTGCAACAAACTTTTAATTCTGAGAAATATTTTAATCATGTTCTTTGCTGTTTTGTCGCATGTCAGTAATGTCATATCTGCTTTACTTAGATGTAAATCAATTGAGCTAATAACAAAAGCTAGGCATATATATATATATATATTTATGTGTGTGTGTTATTATGATTAACCACTAGTTGCGAAACTTACATTCCGCTTCTTAAACGATTACTGTCTATATTGCATTTCTCTTCATATGGCACTATTTTCATCCATATTATCGATTAAATTGATTCTTATACTAATAAACCATTTTGAGTTTCTGCAGTTTTTTTCATTTTCATACTTTTAACTGTTTTCTTTTTTTTTTTAAGTAAAGGCTGAAGCGAGTAAAAATAAAATAAAAGTTCAAATCACTTGTTTTGGAATCAAATAAATAAGCTGGTGGATTAATAGATTAAGTGGATTAATTTAATAATTTAATGAACCATGTTAATGATTGAAATGATTTTATTGATATATAGTGGTATCATGTTTGAAATGTCAAGTGATCTGCTTTGTCATATTTACAGAATTGCACAGCAATAATTGCATATAAAGGGTTAATTGGAAAACAAACAAGATAATATATATTTAGTTTATGAAAGTTTATTATAATGTTCAGTCTCTTGTACAGACTGATTATTTCACATCATTAGACCTCTAAGTATTATATGAAGCACGAGTATTGAATTCCTGCTGCCTGCATGTGTTTTCTGACTCTCAGATTGCTGGTAACTACAGTATTTACTTGCTATTTATAATTCACAACGGACCACCTGTTCTGCTAAAAATCCATTGAAAAGTTAAAAATGTTCTTGTGAAGAGCAGCAAAAAGTGTACCTTGGAAATTTTGGATATGAAAATTATTTTAATCTCTTTAGGGCACTGCATGTATCATTTTAATCACCAGGTTGATACACCCTCATGTATCAACTCTGCGTAAGCACAAAAACTTTGCACATGCCAGGTTTCACGCTCACGTTTGGATTTACTAATGATGAAATTAACATGAGAATGTGCGTGGGTACGTGCCAACTTCATGTCTGGCGTACATGTATTTTTTGTGTGTTTGTTTTATTTTCAATGGCAACTCCTAGAGGCAATTGTGTTAAATTGCACACTACAAAGTAACGTGCCAACACATGTGAAAAACATTGCTAATAATTTATAATTGATAAAATGGGTTAATTGAAACAATTTTCTTTTTACCAATTGTTACGTAGCAGATGCACCCCGCTACGCACATAAGATTAAGGATGACCGCTATTAAAAGAGGTCACCCGGAGTCCCCGTTCCTGCTCCCCAAGCGCACACACACACAGGCCAAGTTGTCAAAAAGGTATCAGATTTATTAAACAAAAAGATCAAAATCAGAATCAGGGAACAAAAAGGCCAAAACAACAAACAAAACAAGGTACGCTACCTATATTAAACTTCTTACCTATACCAAAAATAAAGTTCCTTAAATGAAGCATACAATTCTAACCTCCATAACTAACCACAAAACAGGAGAAAACTGGACAAAATAAAAAGGGCCTTCCCTTTGATCATTCAGCATTAAGGTAAATGTTAGCCACAGCTAACACATGATACCGTCCTAGTACCGTATTTAACAGAGTATCTCACCAGATGACTTTGAAACAGGGTTGTAGAAAGGCATTAAACAATCAGCCACCGCTAATGCAGGATACCGTCCTATTACCGTATTTAACAGAGTATCTCACCAGATTACTTTGGAAAAAAGGTTTCAGACAGATCAGTGCCACACAGAGAACTCAGAGCAAACTGCTCAGACACACACAATGGTGAGGGGAAACAGGAAGAGAACTCGATGAGGAGTGTCAACGGCGTGCCTTTATAGCTGGCGCCGCCCCTCTCACAGCTGCACCTGATCTCCGCTCATGTGGAGAGAGAGAAAGAGATAGATAATGGAGGAAACACACACAGGAACAATACACTCTAGCATTGTCAAAAATAATGTTACTCAATATGTAACACCAATGATGTGATTTAGAACACATAAAAGCATTTGCAATACAACCCTAGTCTATGGCAAGGGCAGTGTTGGCCTTAAAAGAGGACATTGTAAATGGTCGAACCTGATGGTAGCACATTTCTTAGGGATCACAGTGATTTTTTTGCTCAAGATGATGACTGGCTTATTAGCCGTTTCAGATTTCCAAGAGCTATTCTCTTGGAGCTCTGCACTGAGTTGGGTGCAAATTTGGAAAGAGAGACAGCGAAGAGGCTCCAAGGTGGCAGGGTACGCGAAGGGTGGCTTCTTGGTGAGTGATGTATTTAAAGATATTATTCCAGCTAAGTTGTTATTTTATTTTATTAAGTGTAATTATTCAACTGCATATCCGGAGACCGCGGTTATCTATTAAAGATGTGACTGTTAACCCCCCTCAACAACCCACAAACTGACTAAGAGCGCCGATACAATGATGTTCATTCTTGCACTCGGCCAGTAGGCAATTGGGCAGCTGAAATGCCCAAAACATCTGTGTCTCCCACAGACACAGATACTACTCTAGATTGTAAAGTGTGGCCCACAATTAAGGCAACTCTCTCCGCAAAGGGTGTTAGTTCAGCATCTCCTGTACCCCTGCCTGTTGGGTCCACACTTTGACAGTGCGCCGCTGTTCTCCTCTTAACCTGCACCTTTACATGGGACCATTACTTTTTTAATTCACTGACAGTGTAATGTTCAGACCCCACTGCATTAACCGCCTCAGCTAAACTCTCCTGCTTTTTTTCTTTTGTTATAAAATTCCGGAGGACAAACTTGCAAATAACACAGTTTTTCTTTGGTCTAGCTCTGATAGGAGCACCTCCAGTTCACATTCTGTTCAAATTTTCTCTTCTTGCTTGCTTTTGCCATTGCTTTTTCGTTTGGTTTTGCCAAAGTAGAGTCATTAGCATATTTACACAGGGGAGGAGGCAGGGAGGGGTTTTGCGCTCGTGCACATGCGCTCAGTTTCACGTTAATTTGGATGTATAAAGAGAATATTCTCCGTACGCAGTGTTTCATACATCTGAATTTTTTACTGCATACGCACATTTACAGCTTTGTCCGTACGCAATCTTTTAGTATGAATTCAATGCAAGTCTTTGTACATGAGGCCCCAGATGTCTCTCAGAAACATCTCAAACGAAAATTTAACTTTTAGAAGCGTCCAGCAGAGGGAGGGATTTACAGCACTGTGACTCCACACTGACACAGACACAGCTACAGACTCTTCTGAATGCCCTTGTGATGGTTGGCAGGTGGGCAGATAGAGGAAGAAAACCCCAGGTAGAATAGAAATTACATGAGTTTACCCGACTATGCCACTTTGGGAATTTCACCCATAGAATTAAAACACGCACCACTTATAAAGCCACGCGCAAGTTCGCTCCACCAATTAGAGTCAGAAACATTGGCAGAGTACAAAAATAATTTCTTTGACAAGTCTTGAATAAAAGCACGGTTAAAACCAATAATGCAACATTGACACAGTAACTTATAAAATCATGAATTATACCAAAGGGCCAGAACTCACCAGCCAGGGAAAGTGGCCAGACTACACTTCCTGTAAGTGAAAACACTGCACTCCACAGTGTAAAGAGCACATATGCCAAATGAGTACAAAAGTAAGAAAATAAACCAAAAATCAATAGACTAAACAAAACTAATGTATGAAGAAAATACAGAGCCCCACTACACCTTCAAAAAAGCAGGGCACGAATTACATGAAACAAACCAAATCTCATTAATCAAAATAACAAAAAAAATAATAATAAAATAACAAACAAATAAACAAGCTGGACAAATAAACAAGTAAATAGCAGAAATAAATCTAAATCAAGCAAAAATAAATAAATCCAGCCAAAACAAATTAGCAAAAATAAAGAAGATTTTACACTTACAAAAGGTACAGATGTCACTACTTCAATTTGTTCCCTTTGCCGCCGTTCATACCGCGGTGGCGGTGGTAGTTGATGCGCCAGCAGGTTTTGACCACTGGGTGGCGCTTTAACCACAGATTTTTGTTTCTGTACCTTCTGTGATGTGTTCAATTAAAATACGATTTTGATTTAGTTTTCTTAGTAATAAACATGATCTTACACTATACTGTGTGTTTTAGAAAAGATACATGGTGAGAAGTAAAGTCAAAGGCTGCAAAAAGCAAAGATAAGAATTAAATTCTTTAGCCTTTATAGTGCCCTATTACATTGTGTTGGGGTGAAAGGAATGTTTCAATTTCTTTTACCATCATGGCGACGTTATTACCTCAAATCTTAAATGTGCGAATATGAAAAACAGCACACACTACAAAATAATATCAAGATCATCGTGCCAGTGGAGCACATCACCTGATTGTGAGCTTGTGATCACCTGAACTTACTTTATCAATAGGCTATTTAATATTTATTACAGGCTATGTTACAAATATTTGACCAACTGCCACTTCATGTAAAACATTCTCATGCACTCAGAACTAGTGCCAGTTATGAATGAAATAAATGGTATATCCGCATGCAAAGTGAGCCGCATTTAACGTCTGCCCATTTTTTTTGTTTATTTCTCTTTCACACGCATGCAGAAAAAAATCTTCTTGTTTAAAAAAGCGCATTATATCCACTAATGTATAATATTAATATTAATAAAAAAATTTTTAGCTAATATATCCATAATGCCAGGATGCATGGTGCTTTGACTGGATATCTAGATAAAAAGCAAAATCGTCACCTGATGCATGGCATAGGCCAGCCTATAGTGTGGAAAAATATAATTCACAACCTTGGATGTGTTTCCCAAAACCATTGTTTCCCAACTAGGGTCGCAAGTTTCTTCGTTACAAACATAGTTCATTGATTTGCCGTTCCCCAAAAGTTAGTATATAATAGTTTAGTTTTTATATATAGTATTGCATTAATAGCATATAGACGTTAAATAGTTTTTATCGGCTCAAAATTAACGCATCGATTCTGAGTTATTATTTAAAACATAAACCTGCGTTTTAATGATGGATGTGGGTGTCACAAAATACTTTTTAAATCAATGTTTTTATATTATTAATATTATTATTATTATTATTACTATTTAATACAATCAAAACAAACAACCAAATAGGAGAAATAGGACTTAAATGCAAACAATAATGGATAGATAAACCAACAAAAATATGTTAGTTGAATAAACAATCCTTGTGTAAACCAAAATAAACCTAAACACAAAATAAATCCAGAAAACAGGACAGCACTGTAGCCCCAAATAAACACTGAGCGCCCGACAGGAGCTCAATGTACAGAATGCCACCCAGCGTATAAACAAAGAAATAAAACCATCATGGTATGAAGTTTAAAATCTATTAGACAATGTACAACTGCATGCAAACACCAACTGCTCGCCAAAGGGGGTCAAGTTTATTCAAAAGGAAGTTGTCACCTAATTTTCAATTTTCTTATCTGTGTGTGGTTTTGTTGTTGTCCTCTTCATGGCGATGTAATACAATTGGAGCACCAGGGTGAGTGTTAATAAAGGATAAAGAAAGAACCAAAGAACAGAAATTGCTTCAAACCACTCATCTGCTCATCCCATTATTAGCCTGTTCACAAACTGAAGACTTAAGTAGTGAGATGTTAATGTGCTGATGTGTGATGTGTCGCTGGCAGCAGAATGACTATTTTGCTTATTTGTTCACACTTTTGTGGTGAAAAGTGGCATTTCTGATCTTCCTCTAAAATTGGAGAGTAAAATGAAGCGATCAGCTCCTCTCATGCACACACACACACTGCAGATATGATTCACCTTCTGATTCTCGCTGGGGTTTTACTTCACATTGGAGGTAAATGGTTATAATTCGTTTAAAATTGCATTGTTAAACTATTAAATGGTCTGTTGTTTACTTGATGTGTTACAGTTGTTTACTTTAATGCTAGTTATTGTTCACTATACATTTACTTTATTAGTGTGTGTGCCATTTATGATCCCCTAATGTTTTTTTTACACTTAATCTTGTCTACAGATGGAGCTTGGGTTATTAATCCAAATATAAGAGTGAAATCTGGTTCACCAGGCATTATTCCATGTCTATATAAAGAACAATATAAAGAACACCAGAAGTTTTGGTGTTGGGGGACATTTTGGAGCACTTGCTCTATATTGGCTTATGTAAATGGAACAAGAAATAAATTCTCCATCACTGATTATCCAGCTCAGAGTATCTTTACAGTGGAATGGCAGAATCTGCAGCCGTCAGACTCTGCATATTACTGGTGCGCTGTGGAGATCGGTGGTCCTGGGACACTAGACGCTGGTTATTTTTTGTATCTGACGGTACAATCAGGTAAAGAACATTTTTCAAAATCTCTATTATTTCTGATGAACAAATAATGTAAAAGGTTTTGTTATGTGTGATAGAAGTTATTTCTGTTCACACAAGTGGAACTGAAAAAGGAGAACAAGTTAAGCATAGGATGTGTAATGACTAATGAAAAAACACTTCGTGGCCCGACTACTGCAGGTCTATATTTAATTGTTGCGATCTCATGACTGTTCTCTCTATTGACTCTGTCAAGGAGAATGTTCAGGTAGAGATAGGACACTGACAAGATGCAGATTAAATTTAAAAATCTTGGGTGAAGTGTTTCCTGCTCTAGATGCTCTGATTAATGTAGTCTAAGAATCCTTCCAAATTATGCATTTGTCTTTTCTTCTGCCATTTTGAAATGCACATCATGATATTGCCAAGTGTCATGTGATCCTGGATTAACTTCTATGTTGATCCTGGAACATCATTTTTGTTCGAAAATGTAATCCATAGCTATTCCCTACACCTAAACCCAACCATAACTGTAAATTATTCCCAAAATCAGAGGAGGATAATATTTGGGTAACACTAAGGTAGAAGTGTATAAACCTAACCGTAAACCTAAACTTAACACAAATGGTGAACGTATTCCTTAATTCTGATTGGCTGATGGGAATGTTGTTCCAGGATCATCATAGATCAGTAGTTCTCAAACTTTTTTCATCAAGTACCACCTCAGAAAAAAATTGTCTCTCCAAGTACCACCAAAATGAGCAGTATTGAAATACAGTAGCGTAGTAGGCCCAGTAAAGCAGCTACAACTCTGCATAGTTAAAAAAAACGTGGCAGATTACCTCAGAAATATAGACTATGTCATATATGGCATATAATATACATAATTTTTGATAAATTTTGAAATATATATAGCATGTACATGACATATTTCATTCCTCCGCGTACCACTAGAAGGAAGCCTGTGTACCACTACTGGTACACGTACCACAGTTTGAGAACCACTGTCATAGATGTTAATCCAGGAACATGTCTTACCTAGTGAAATCAGGTTAGGGCTCTGAAACAAGGATTAGATCTTTGCATTGTGATCTTGCGTATCCGTGATGATTATATTGTCTGTGTGCTGAAATAAATATAGATTAAACACTCACTAAAGTGCCCTGGAGCAGTGTTTTGAGTGGCAGTGTGTTTATTTCTGTTCAGTAAAATGTCATCTTGTCATTTTGACTGTTTTCAGCTCCTGATGTGTCTGTGAAGAGCAGCAGTGTATCTGGACATGAAGGTGGTAATGTCAGTGTTCAGTGTTTATACCGTTCTGGATATAAGACTTACAACAAACAGTGGTGCAGAGTTAAAGATAAGAGCTGTTTCACAGAGGAAAAGACGGACACATCCCAGAATTTATCAGTGCAGATCAGTGATGATGGTAAAAGCTTCTTCACTGTGCTGATGACTGGACTGAACCTCTCTGATTCTGGATGGTATTTCTGCTCTGTTGGAGATCTGCAGGTTCCTGTTCAACTCACTGTCACTAAACCTGAACCCAAAGGTAAGATCACAAACCAGCTAGGCTGAAAAAATGATGATGCTATTACTGCCCTAAAATGCCCTTGTTGCTTTACTCTTTTCTTTTTCCAGTACTGACAACTCCGAAATATACATCTGAGACAGAAATGTAAGTTTAAACATTTTTGATTGTTTAAATGAATCAAACACATTTAAATGCTTTTTTTTGTCAAGTAGATTTATGAAAGGATTGTTTTAATGTGGTGTAAACACATCCACTGTTCATGCTCTTTCATTATTACTTCATTAATATACTGCTGATTAAGTGTTATTACTGTATTAAGTTATTCATACTTGCTGCAACACACCAATGTAAATTTTTAAGTGATTTACTAAATCAGGCTAATTAATCATAGATTTATGTCTATACTCATATTGTTCTCCAACACAAATGTAAATAACTAATTATGACTTTTATTTGACATTGTTTTGCAGGAACACAACACAACTCTCCAACAACACAACTTCTACAATCATGCATTCAACGATAAACAGTAAGCAGCAGCTAAATTTGATTACTTAGGAAATATTCAGGAGTTTAATGTTTCTTCTGAGTTATTTTGGTAATTTTGTTTACACTAATTGTGAAAAGTTTAACTTTTATTGCACAATTTTCTTAGCTCATATATAGGCGTTATCTTTTAGGTTAGAATTTACATGGCAGACTAAGTGAGAAAACTGAACGCTTCACTGTAGTAAGAAAACAGTTTAACTGTTATAACAGCTAAAACTGTTAAACGGGTTAAGAACAAGCTTCCTCCATTCAGCCTCTTTACTTTCTACTTACGTTTACGCTTTACTTTACTCCTTTACTTTCATGGAGTAAGGAAACGGTGGAAACTCACTCCACTGAAGACATCCATTAGCTTACATATTTATTATTTATTATTTCATTAGATTGTTCACAAGATTTGTTTCAAAACTATTTTTAAATTCAGTTCTAATTTCCAGCAAACAAATAAATGAACAATAATAACAAAGTGTGGTTAAAGTTAAAGTTATATTTAAACACACATCCTATGTCTTAAAAACCCAACAGGTGGACAAATCTAAACTTGTTTTAATTAAAACAAATATAAATATGCATATACAGTAATAAATAATAGCACTACAAATAATACCATTATACAAATGCAGATTGTGATAAATAAACTAAAAGCAGCCTTCCAGAGATGAGGCATTAAGACAGTGTTTTTATACACTCAGAAATAAAGGTACACGAGCTGTCTCTGGGGTGGTACCTTTTCAAAAAGTACACATTTGTACTTAAAGGGTCCACATTGGTACCCTAAGAGTATATATTAGTACCTAAAAATTTTAAGGGGAACACTTTTGTACTTTTTAGGGACTAATTGAGGTATTAATATGGACCTTTTAGGTACAAATTTTTACCTTTCATAAAGGTACCACCCCAGTAACAGATTGCATACCTTTATTTCTGGGAGTGTATTTATGTAGAAAATAATATTTTAATCCTTTAATTGTTTTCATATGTAAAGATATTTGTGTGTTGCCATACATCCTGTGAGTATTAAGCAATGTGTGATCGTTTGTACTTTTATAGACACTAACGCTCTCTGCGCAGCTTTTAGTTGGTCAATGTCTATTTCAGTTCCTCAAAATAGCTGCGCGCCAACAATGCTCCTCACAGTGTTGGGCAAGCTACTTGAAAAATGTAGTGAGCTAAGCTATTAGCTACTCTACTTAAAATGTAGCTGAACTACACTAAAAGGTACCCTCTGGGAAATGTATAAGCTAAGCTAAAAACTACATGGCAAAAGTAGCCTAGTTACATCTAAGTTTTTTTTTACAATTTCATTTTTAAATCGAAGCAACTTAAATCCAGGTCAATCATATCTTGGTGATCAATAAAACTGCCAATGAAACATATGAGGCAGAATAGCTCAGTTCAGTTATTTACTGTAAATAGTATGCTGTACTAAACAGAAACACATTATAGTAAATAACAGCTAAAACAGAAAATTCAATAAAACCAGGTGTTACACAATTAAAATACTATAGTAATTTATAGTAAAGGGAAAGATTTTTGGAATAGGCATTAATTGAATGCATTTACTTTTATTGGCTAGACAATGGCCTCGCGGCCCCATGAATGTCTGTGTTGTCACTTATTGATCTGCGACTGGTAACTGTAGCTTGAGTGGACTTTACTGCGCTACTTAACTAATAAAATAGCTTTGCTACTGAAAAGCTATTTGATTCAGAAAGTAGCAACACTACCGCCACACTACTGAGAAATGTAGCTAAGCTAGTAGCGTCACTATTTGTAGCAATGCTATACTACCCAACACTACTGGTGCCATAACACACCACTTTTCTAGCCCGGAACACCCATGACGCCACAAAGTGGAGGCATCCAAGTGGATGCTGCATACTGCTGGTAGTGTGGAAAGGCCCCCTCATGACTATAAAGAGCTTTGGGTGTATGACCATGCAGAGTAAATGCGCTATATATACATTAAAAGCGGCCCAAATGAATTTGCTATGTAAACAACGTGTGATATATATTGCTCATATATATATGAGCAATTTCACACTCGTAGCAGTGCGATATAGCTTATATCGCACTGGTGAGAGGCGTGCGTTGGCCAAGTGCCTTAAGTGCCCCCACCAGTGCCGATATACAGCCATATCACACTGCTACAAGTGTGAAATTGCGTTTATACAACAGTTTGACGGCATAATTGAGTATATAAAAACTAATTCAAACATGGAGAGTTTCAAAAACTCTTTTGTATGAGGAACTACTTACTTCCACATTGGATTCAAATCATAAGCTGACAGTTAAACAGCTGAGCAAACTTCTTTTAAACTTTAGATCTGTTTGTCTGCTTTTTGCTGGCTGTATGTGGGCGGAGTAATACACAAAGGGTAAAGAGGCTTTACGGGTGTTGATATTACCTAAATATATCACGGCTATCAGCCAATCAGATTCGAGAACCAGAGAGAACTGTTGTATATATATAACATATATATATATACATATACATAACTGTTGTATGTATATGTATATATATATATATATATATATATATATATATATATATATATATATATATATATATATATATATATTTTTTTTTTTTTTTTTTTTTTTTTTTTTAACTCACTTTTTTCTGCTTTTAACAGAACTTAAGACTTCTAAACCAATGGGAGCTTACATGTATGTAAATATTTTTATTCAATCATAACTTATACCAAACTGTTACGTATGAACAAAACAAGCATTAAATATTTCAGTGTGCATTTGCTTTTATTAATATGTAAAAGCCTTTAAAGTTGAACATGCTGTAGATGTTTATGATGTTAACAGACATGTCTCTCCATCACCACAGGAATAATGTGATCCTGCTCATGTGCCTTGCAACAACACTAATGCTTTTACTGCTTGTGGCTCTTTTTGCCATAGTAATCTGCAGGATGAGAAAGAATCAAGGTGAGTTCATTTTTGTCACTGTTTATTGATGATTTCATTATAGCATGAATATAATAACACAAGAAACATCAAACTAGCACACATATTCAGTGTTCACGGATGGAAAAATGATCAAATGTCATAAGAACACAAACACACTTGACCACAGAATAATTTAACCAAAAATGTGACCAAACAGAGCTAAGAATCCAAAAGGGGTTGTGTTCACAGAAATGTCTTAGAATACAGGTGTCAAAGCCAGTTCCTGGAGGGCCACAGCTCTGTACAGTTTAGTTTCAACCCTAATCAAATGCACTTGATCAAACTAACTGAGTCCTTCAGGCTTGTTTGAAACCTCCGGGTAAGTGTGTTTGAGCAGGGTTGGAAGAAGTCTGGACCCGACCACATTTCTTGTCGCATGTGAATAAATTTCCTAATAAAACACTGTAGCGCTTGGTAACTCTGGTGTAATTTATATGGGAGCAGGCGGTCTAACAATAGCGTTCTTGAAAGAAAGAGAGAGAGCACAAGCGAGTGCGAGGTGAAGTTTAGTTTTAAACTAATTTCGAGAGGAGCATGTGCTCATGATTTACCCAGCTGGTCCACATTAACTAATTATGATCCTCCAATCAAAGGATCCCAAACCACTATATATATCCTCATTTCCTTTCTACAACTATCTTCGTCTGGAAGAAACCCCCCCTCCCCCCCTTCTTCCTCCTTTATCCAGAATGGGCGGCACGGTGGCCCAGTGACTAGCACTGTTGCCTCACAGCAAGATCCGGCCATCCGGTATTTCTGTGTGGAGTTTGCATGTTCTCCCCGTGTCCGCGTGGGTTTCCCCCGGGTTCCCCGGTTTCCTCCCACCATCCAAATGTGCTCTATATTATAGATAAAACAAGCCTAAACCTTTTTTATAATGTCTTACTCTCAGGAAGTTCGCCTTGGCCTCAGCAGCGGGGGAGTTTGAGATAGACCTGAGCTCAATCTCCACTCGCCCTGCAAAAGGGGGGGAGCCCTGGGCTCGAGGATCCCTTGAGCTCAGGGCTCTCTCCCGGGACAGCATGCCAAACAAGCTATGTATAAATCATGGGCTAAGTGTGAACTCTTGAAAGCATATCTATTCACCGTGGAGCTGTGCTGTGTGTTACATCTGAAAAAGGCCTCAGTTAACATGGACACTAGTTAAACCGTAACACCAGCTTCATTTAGTTTACTGTTAAGAGTCCTCAAGCAGATGTTTACACCGTGTAAACTTGACAACATGTCCACACTTATAGCCTACGAGTGGCCCTAAAATATTGAACACATTGATGCAGTATGTCTGGTGTTTCCGTCTGGTCCTTTATAAACTCCAAACACCAACCACACGTAAAGCTAAACTGCGTTAAGCTGCTCATGTGTTTGCCACAAAACGGGCAAAACAACCCTCGACTGCTGTCCATGTTCGGTCACCATAAACTTTGTTTACACCATGTACTCCACAGCACGAATTTACAGCGCTCAACCAAACAACAACAACTTTCCCCCGCGTCACTCTCTGTGTGGTACATTCCACATCACTTCTGGTGTGTGCTACATTCCCTTTCCGTAAGGAATCTGTTATTGTAAATTTGTTTTGGGACTTGTAAAAGTGTGTTGCAATTTGTTAATTTTTTTCTGAAATGAAAATTAGTTTCGTCCTTGGTAAAATAGTTTTTCCTATGTAATTGAGTCTGATGATAGGTAAAAATGTTTTTCAAAATGTAAATTTGTCTCGAGCTTTGTAAAAGGGTTTCACACTTTGTAATGTCTCACCAGCCACAAATCTCACCACACGGCACTCATGTCACATCACAAAGGGGCAAACATAACTAACATTTACAAACCTTGCACAACTAGTTTTGTTGGCTTGAGAAAGCCAACATACTGTTATGCTACTCTGTTCTTGAAAACAAACGTATCTCCTCCTAGGCCGTTCATGCCACAAGGCTCAAATGTGGTCAAAATGTGCTTTCTACATTCAAGATTGTTGCTATATCTCCTCATGCCTATAAGACTTCTTGTTTTTTTAATAAAAAATGTTAAATATTAAATTTTTTATAATCCGGTCATATAAAAAAATTATACAAGCCCCAAATTTGGCCAAAAGCTGTATTTAGATGCGTTAGATTTTGTTGCTATATCTTTAAGGTTAAGGACTTATAGTTTTCCAATAAATAATTTTTAAGCATTATTTTTCTTAAAATATGGCAAGCCATTTTTGACTTAAACTCCATATTTTTTACTGATATGGCAAGCCATTTTTGACTTAAACTCCATATTTTTTACTGATATGGCAAGCCATTTTTGCATGTATCACTTTCACACTTATTAAGCATTGTATTTTCAAAAAAATACAGCAAGCCATTTTTACATAATGTTCATTCCCTTAGTCTCTTTATTAATCAGGGGTCGCCACAACGGAATGAACCGCCAACTTATCCAGCATTTGTTTTACACAGCGAATGCCCTTCCAGCCACAACCCAACACCAGGAATACATAATGTTCAAGTCCAGTTTTTGACACTCATAAAGACTGTCATAGAAACATCGGGGTTGATTTAAATCACTCATATTGCCAAGAAGCTTTGATGTATCATCACTAACCTGTCAAAATTCCCCATAGCAATAAAACAGTATAACCTAGCAACCATTTAAAAATAGCAATATCTCTACATCAGAACATCGTAGGGACCTGAGCAATGGCTTGTTTGACTCATGCTAGCAAATGGGACTTCCTGTGTACTATGCATGGTAACAGTGATAATGGCAGCCAAGTGCTAATAATGATTAGCTACATGCTATGAATGATTATCTAAATGCAATAACATATGCTAGAAATGCCTACTAAGTATTAGCATTTGATCAAACATGTACACGAGCATTGCCATTTAGCAACTGCTTAGCAACCACCTAACAATCCCATAATTGTTTTAGCAACTGCCTAGCAACCACTTAGCAACCGCCACCGTGCTTCCTGCCAACTGCCATTCTTAGTCCTAGCGCAGTCACGTTGGCTTTCTCAAGCCAACATCAAAGTTTATCAATAAACTTTAGGTTCTAGTTTTATCTGTTGTCTCTCTCTCTTTTGGTAGTACTCAATTTTAATGTGAGATTTTGGCAATCAGATCTAAATTTAGCGGGAATGATCAGGTCAGGTAGAAAATGGGGTGAGTCGGGTAGCGGGTGAACAAAGGCTGAATATACGGCGGGAGCGGTCAGGTGTGGAATAAAACCTGGACTAAAAATTAAGTCCTGATCAGATCTCTAGTTGGAACTAAACTGTAGAGAGCTGTGGCCCTCCAGGAACTGGCTTTTTCACCTGTGCTTTAGAAGAACCATTTGTGTTTCCCTAAAGAACCTTTCAGTCAAACAGTTCTGAACCCTGTTCCTGGTGATAAAAACCTTTATAAAATGTAAAGTGTGGATTTCCACATGAAGGAGCTTTTTTTGGCATGGACAGTTTTCATAAATGTTAAAGGTACTATTAAATAATACTGATTGTTATGAAAATTAATCTTCAAATCTCAACCTGACAGAAGGTGAACAAATTAAGAAAGAAGAACGTGTTGACAGCAGCACCATGAATACTGTAAGTGTTTTAGTATTTACAGTAATTGACATAAACTGAGTAGAGAAGTTCTGTGGAAAAGAATGTAGTTTTGTGAAATTAGTTCAGCATCTACATCTGTGTTTGCTGCAGATGCCCTCTGAAAACCAAATGACATCTATCAGTCCTGCAGAAGCTGATGTAAGTCCTCATCCTTCATTCTGTCTGCTTTACAACTCTTAAAAGACACTGAGATGCTGAACTCAGATCAGTGATGGTCAGTTGTGTTTGTTCACAGTCTTCTGCTGACGATCCTTCAGTGCTTTACAGTCCTGTCTCCTTTACTAAGAAAGTAAGTGTCTCTGAGGTTTTCATCATCATGTTTTTTTGTGAATTGATGTGTTCGCAGTTATAACTGGAATTGTCTGTTTCATTCAGTTTGTTTGCAATATATTACTGTGTATAAATTTCTATCATGGACTCGTGATGCACTGAAGTTATATATATAAGGTTTGTGTGACAGAATTTGTGTTTCGCAATCAAATGAACAGCCAAAGCACAAATAACGTTGTAAACCGTGTTGTTCAAACTCCTCTCAGTTCTGATCATTTTTTTTTCACAGCGTTTATCATCAGTGGATCCAGAACCTGATGTGGTCTACAGCACTGTGATGAAAGATCGCAAAACTGTGAGTTCATAACATACAGATATAAAGAGGAATCCTTTATTGAAGCAGTTAGAAAACGTGATAGTCATTTACTGTAATTCAGTAGTAAGACATCATATGTACCAATGTTCAGTATAGTGCAGTATGCATGGAGATAGTAATTATTGTTATTTTTAAAAAAATCATATTTCAAAGTTGTTGCTTTTTCATTGTTTTTGTCTGCATTATAGTTAAACTAAATGAATAGTCTTATGAAATACATGTTTGTGTTTATTTCAGATGTAATGCAGATTTAATTTATGGCCAAATGGAGGATGAAGGCGACATATTAGCATTTTTGAAGAAGATGAAATCTGCTTTAATATTTCTTTTCATCCTTAATTTTATTTACAAATTATCTTAGAGACAATTTTTACAAAAAAAAATAAATAAATAAAAAAAATTAGAAACAAACATGGTAAACCAAAAATCTGTCATGGTTTTGCTATACTATAGTATTTGTAATAAAAAAAAGTTTCAATTTAGAAAGGGTAGAAACGTGGAGGTAAAAATTGGGTAAAAATTGACAAACTCTAAAAACAAACAAAAAAAAAAAGAATAAAAAATAGCTAAAATTGTACTTGGGCCTGAGGGGTGATTACATTTGTAAGTCGCTTTGGATAAAAGAGTCTGCTAAATGACTAAATGTAAATGTAATAATATTGCCAAAAAGAAAAATCTAACAATATTTTGAAAATGAAATAAAATTATTTGCTACATTTTATTTGGGATGATTCCTTAAATAGAGGCAAAATCGCATTTTATAAGTTAGTTTTTTATACTGTTTTACATTTGTGTACAGTAGTTAGGCATGAGCGAGAGTGCAGTTTCTGCAGTTTTATTAGAGTGATTGCAAGTATTTTTATTTCACACACCAGTTTGTTAAATTAGTATTAGGAGACTTACAATTTAAATAAGGAGCAAATGAAAAGAAAATCAGAAAGACAAAGAACACCAGAACCACTGATGCTTTAAGTCCTTTGATTAATTAGAAGCTGATTATGATATATATATTTATTATATCATTTATTATATTATATATTTATATATATATATTATATCAAGCATTCAGCAGTTCAAAGTATATATAAATATAGAGAACATTTAACAAACTGGTGTTTGTTTCAATAGTATCTGGATGCAGCTTTTACGATGCAAGCTGAGACTGCATCACTCAGCAATGCAATATCAGACACAATGCACTCATGAGTGACATCACTGTGAGGGGTAGGATTAGGGGGTTTATGTGAGCCCATTAAAAAGCATTGGATGCAGCTCAGACTGCACTGCACCAGGTCTGCATCCAGACCCCTCTCGTTTGTTTAGTTTGTCGTCATTTCATTACTTTCTAACTGAATCAGCTTTTTTTAACCCATTAACAAGTCAATGAATCACTTCCTTGTTATTAAAGGCTTGTCGCCACCTGTTGGCAGTTTAAATGTTTGTTTTTTACTTGTCATAGAAATACCTAAATAAATAAGTTACCAGAATAAACACACATTAAAATTTTGTCTAGTTATTGGTACAAAAAAATACATGAACACAGTTTAAATGAGCTAGCATCATCTTTCAGAGAGAAAAAAAGATAAATTTTCCAGTTTTTCTTGTAAATTGTAAAGTATTTTTTTTTCAATAAAGCCCTTCAGCATGAAATAGTCTCTATTTCAGAGGTCACCACAGCTGAATGAAACGGCGACTAGATCTGCTAACTAACATATGTTTTACACAGATGATGCCCTTCCAGCTGCAACTCAGTACTGGGAAACATCCATACACACTCATTTACACACATGACCAATTTAGTAGAAACCCACGCCAACAGGAGGAAAACATGCAAACTTCATACAAATGCCAACTGGTCCAGCCGGGACTCAAACCACCAACCTTCTTGCTGTAAGGCAACAGTGCTAAGCACTGAGCCCACCAGGCCACCCAGTTTTTGTTCTGATTGCATTTATGAAATGTGATTATAAAAAAAATAAATAAATAAATAAAAATTATTAATTATTTTTACCATTAGTAATAGGTTATATTTACACACTGTTGCCACACAACCGTATTCAAACCCCTTATAAAAGCAATTTTTGCATAATAGGTCCCCGTTAAGGTACTACATGTATCATTTTCAACCACTAGGAGCTTTATTTTGACGGCCCATGCGCAGAGCGCAAACACTTTCAGGGCGTGTCAGAGCGCATTTTTGCTAATTTACGGACGGGAAAAATGCGCTTTGCGCCAAGGCGCATGAGATAAAAGTGTTGAGTTTATTTTCTTAATGAGTTATAGGTGTGTTTTGAGAATAAACCAATTAGAGTCTCATCTCACATTCCCTTTAAGACCCAGCTTCGTCACGCCAAGAGCGCATTCGCTATTTACAGGACGCAAAGTAAGTCTAAGTGGAAAAACTGAGCATTTCACAAGCAAACAGTTTACAGTTGACAGTTTTTTAACAGAAAACTGTTAAACAGAGCATCTACTGCGTGAGAATGAGAGATAATGGATCACTTTCACTTTAGCTCTTGAATAGGGAAACCTTTAAGCACAGACATCAATTAGTCTATAAATAATTAATTTAGTTTGTTAAGCGCAAAGATTTGTTTCAAAACTATTTCTAAATTCAGTTCTAATTTCCAGCAAACGAATAAATGAACAAAAATGACCAAGTGTGGTCAAAATACTGAGTTTTTTCCAAATACACCTGCCATGCCCCATATGGTCTAAAACCTGAAAGGTGAGCAAATCTAAGCTTGTTTTTAATAGAACAAATATAAATATGGATATAATAAATAATACTGCTAATAATAATAATAATAACATTATACAAAAGCAAATTGTTATGAATGAACTGAAAAAGACTCCCGAGATGAAGAAGACATAAAAGCAGTGATTTTTCATATTTATGAGGGCTAGAAAATAATATGCTTTGTAATATTTTAATCCTTTATATTTATATTTTATATCCATTCTTATTATATTCTATATATATCCTTAATATTTATTTTTTTTCCATATGTAAAGATATTTGCCTATTGCTCTCTTGTGCTACTAAGCAGTGCATAAGCGAGAGTTTAGACCGGGTTAGTTTTGGTCTAATGAAAAATCTATTATAGTTTTTCAAAATAGCAGCGCGCCAGCGGTCTGCCTCAGAACGCCTTCCTTTTTAGACCAGAACACCTATGGACGCACAAATGAGTGCTAATGCATTTGCTATTTAAACAGCGTAGCGCAACGCCTCAAAACCACTCTTGCGCCAAGCTGAAACTACTAAAAGACTATTGCGCCGTGTCTTGTGCCACACTGCGTCGGGTGTATGATAGGGCCCTATATGTCATATAGAAACAATCATTCATTCATTTTCTTGTCGGCTTAGTCCCTTCATTAATCTGGGGTCGCCACAGTGGAATGAACCTCAAAATTATCCAGCATATGTTTTATACAGCAGATACACTTCCAGCTGGAACCCATCTCTGAGTAACACCCATACACTCTCATTCACACTCATAAATTATGAACAATTTAGCCTACCCAATTCACCTGTAGCGCATGTCTTTGGACTGTGGGGGAAAGCACCCGGAGGTAACCCACTTGAACGCGGGGAGAACATGCCCTGCTTTCAAGAATGCTGAGGATGTTGTGAATCGTTTGGGGTTTAGGTCAAAACGAATAGCAAAGCTACTTGAAAAGTGGAAATCATTTTTTTGCCCCTGAAGAAGCTAACATGTTGGGAAATGCTGATGGTTTAATCATCCCAAATTGCGATGATCCTTTCGCTGATTGATGTGTTGTTTTTAATGGGAACCAATTCTGAGTTTGGAAAAAATGTTTATAATAGTTGTTAATAATAGGGTTGATACCTATATTTTACAGTCTATGGTTGATACTCCATGGCGCTCTGTTCTCCATTTAAAAGAGAATGCTAAACCAGAGTGGAGAGCTCTGTAACCCCCTCTACCAAAATAAGTGGGGGATTTGCAATGGAGAATCTTGCACGGTGCCATAGCTGTGAATGCGTTTGTATCAATTATAAATCCAGGTAATAGTGATGAATGTTCATTTTGCTCTCAACGTGAAACCCTATATCATGCTTTTATGTTTTGAAACAGGCTTAGATATATATATATATATATATATATATATATATATATATATATATATATATATATATATATATATATATATATATATATATATATATATTTCAGGTCTTATCTAATTTGTTTGTTTGTTTTGGCAAGATGTTTTCTTTGTAAACTTTTATTTGTGGTTATAAGTATACACGTTGTCATAATCGATCACCAGCCATCTAACCACCAGAGGTCGCTGGTAAACACTCCCACACACATAGGACCACAAATCAGCTTGAAATAGACTACATATTCAGTCTTGCAATACACACACAACCAGTTCCTGATCCTGACTGATTGCATACACACAGCTGATGCTGCTCAAGTACTGATTACACACACACACACATATATACAGCTCACATTGAAACACTCATTGCTGAGTCTTGTAATCTGCTACAGTGACTCTACAACACGTTTCCTTTATCTGCCTTTGCCATGTTTTGATCCTTTGCCTTGTTTGTTTGTTTAATTCTGTTTGCTGCCTGCCTCTGACCATCTGCCTGTTATTTTGACTTTGACTCTGGATTGCCCTCATACACCTGTTTGCCCTTTTATTGACCACTGTTTGCCTGACGATTCTAAAAACCTGCATGTGGATCCACACCTGTGTTGTCAGTGTCACATTCCCTGGATACACATGTAAACTTAGTTTTTTTTTAATTATTATTATGCCAGTTACTCAAATTTTTTTTTGGGGTGGGGGGGGTGTTCAACCAAAAATTGCAATTTATGACACTTGAAAAGTACAAGTTGAGCAAAACTCAAGTGGCTGTTTAAAAACATTTATTTTCAACTTTCAATTGAATTTCAGTATTACAAAGCAATGGGTGATCTTATGTGTTTTGAAAAGATTTGGGGCCTCATGTATCAACGCTGCGTACGCACAAAAACTTTGCGTACGCCAGGTTTCACGCTCAGAATCGCTCACGTTTGGATTTACTAACAATGAACTGAACGTGGGAATGTGCGCAGGTTCACGGCAGCTTTCTGGCTGGCGTACGCACATTTTTTGTGCGTGTGTGTTTTATTTCCATTGGCGACTCCTAGAGGCAGTTGTGTGAAATTCCTCTCTACAAAGTGTCTGAGCCTTGCAATGGCAGCTGTATGAGACGGGTTCAGCAGGTATATAAGGTTTCCATACCATACATTTGACCAGCCAAACATTAAAGCACAATTTGCAGCAGTCGCCTGTTTTCCCAATGTAATCTGAGCGATCCACCGCACGCACATTGCTATAAAGACACTATCTGAAGATGAATTTGCATGCGTGAATCAGAAACATTTCTATTCAATAAATGTGCAAATAAAATATGATGCTTATTGATATGAACTTATTGATGATTCCTACTTGTCTTTCTCGTGATAAATAGTGGGCAAAATCTGATATGTTGCGGGGGAAAAAACAAGAAAGAAATCATCAGACGCTGGATTCGAGCCGAGTTCATGCTCGAATGGAACTATTCATGATCACATGTGTCTTACAAGCTGCGCCACTGAGACTGGTAAGGGTACCGCAACATTTTACAGATATAAACCACACTATTTCTATCTTTGATGCACTCAGTGCGATGTTCTGACCCAACTGTGTTAACCGCATCAGCTAAACTCTCCCACTCTATTTTTTTCTTTTGTTGTTAATTCCGGAGAACAAACTTGCAAATAACACCGCTTTTCTCCGGTCTACCTCCGAAAGCAGCACCTCCAATTCACATTCTGTTCAAAGTTTCTCTTTTTGCTTGCTTTTTCCATTGCTTTTTCGTTGGGTTTTGCCATTAGCATAGTCATTAGCATATTCATACAGGGGAGGAGGCAGGGAGGGGTTTTGTGCTCGTGCATGTTGCGCTCAGTTTCACGTTCATTCAGATGTACAAAAGAATATGCGTGAGATTCGGCGTACGCAGTGTTTCATACATCTGAATTTTTTTCTGCGTACGCACATTTACAGCTTTGTGCGTACGCAATGTTTTAGTAAGATTTCCACGCAAGTCTTCGTACATGAGGCCCCTGGTGTTACAAAGGATTTTTATGTCAAATTTGTGATGAAAATGTTGAGTTTATGGTTTATTGGGCTGTTTTAAATTTTTATGTGTAACATTTGATTGTATGATGTCTTTAAAAATTGTATTAAAGGCGTGTTGAAAATTCTAACTCTCTTTCAAAAATAAATGCTTATCAGTTCTTCATGTTTAAAATAATGTTTTGAATTTAATAATGTGTGTAGTTTTGTTGTTGTCCTCTTCATGGCGCTGTAAAACAGTTGAAGTGTTTCAGTAATAAAGGATAAACACAGAACCTGAACATGGTAAATATAGCAGTGAGCAATTGATTGCTTCAAACCTCTTATCTGCTCATCTCATCATTAGCCTGTTCACAAACTGAAGGCTTGTGCAGTGAGATGTTGCTGTGTTGATGTGTCGCTGACAGCAGAATGACTATTTGCTCATTTGTTTACACCTGTGTGGTTTTACATGGTATTTCTGCTCTTCCTCTAAAACCGGAGAATATAATGCAGAGCAATCAGCTCCCCTCGCTCCCTCTTTTTCTCACACACACACACACTGCGGACATGATTCACCCTCTGATTCTCGCTGGGGTTTTACTTCACATTGGAGGTAAATAATTATAATTATTTTACAAATTGCATTATTACACTAGTATATGGTCTATTTACTTGATGTGTTACAGTTGTTTACTTTGATGCTAGTTATTCTTCACTATACATTTACTTCATTAGTGTGTGTGCAGATTATGAGTGTTCTTATGTGTTTTCTTACACTTAATCTTGTCCACAGATGGAGTTTGGATTAATAAACTGAATATAGGAGTGAAATCTGGATCTCCAGGCATTATTCCATGTCTATATGAAGAACAATATAAAGAACACCAGAAGTATTGGTGTCGGGGATACATTTGGAGCTCTTGCTCTATATTGGCTTATGTAAATGAAACAAGAAATAAATTCTCCATCACTGATTATCCAGCACAGAGTATCTTTACAGTGGAATGGCAGAATCTGCAGGAGTCCAACTCTTCATATTACTGGTGCGCTGTGGAGATCGGTGGTCCTGGGACACTAGACGCTGGTTATTATTTGTATCTGACGGTACAATCAGGTAAAGAAAACCTTTCAAAATCTCTATTATTTCTGATGAACAAATAATGTAAAAGGTTTTGTTATGTGTGATAGAAGTTAGTTCTGTTAACACAAGTAGAACTGAAAAAGGAGAACAAGTTAAGTATAGGATGTGTTATGACTAATGAAAAAACACATCGTGGCCCGACTACTGCAGGTCTATATTTAATTTTGAGATATCATAACTGTTCTTCTGTCAAGAAAAAGGTGCAGGCCCAAATAGGTTTATCGACAAGATGCAGATTAAATTGTGGGAAGTCGTGTGGGAAGTGTTTCTGTCTCTGGATGCTCTGATTATTGCAGCCTAACAATCCTTCAGAATTATGCATTTGTCTTCTGCCATTCTGAAACGCACGTCATGATATTGCCAAGTATGATGTGATCCTGGATTAACTTCTATGTTGATCCTGGAACATCATTTTTGTTCGAAAATGTAATTCATAACTATTCCTACCCCTAAATCCAACCATAGCTGTAAATTATTCCGCTTATAATTCCGCTTAGTAGTCCGCTTTTTAAATTATTAGTCCGCTTAGCTCGACCACGGGGACAACCGGGATCGAGTCCGGGGAAGAGCGGTTCCCGAAATCAGGTAAGATGAAAAACAGAATCCAAAAAATAAGGGCGAGAACAAGGCGAGATCCGAAAACGCGGTCGAAATCAAAGACAAGGGCTTTTGCTTTTTTTTTCTTCTGGACTGCTTTTGCAAACTGTCGCTTGGGTTTAGGGAAGGAGGATGAGGTGGAGGAGAAGGGCGGCCAGGTCGGCCGATTGGCCGGCCGCCCGGTTGATCATTCAGTCGTTCAGCCAGTCAGTCAGATGGACGGATGCTCCACAGCGGCCTCCGGCGGCTTTTCATGTGAGAACAGCAAGGGCGCAAACGGCGCGCACTCCCGAGAGGCGTCCGAGACGCGAAAAAATTGCGCACAGCGGCCTCAAAAACTGCTCGAATACGTACCTCCCGGGGCTACGTTTCCACAATGAGCCCTGGTTGGCATAGACCTAACCATAAGCATAAATTTTATATAAACCGTAAACATATCCCTTAATTCTGATTGGCTGATTGGAATGTTGTTCCAGGATCATCATAGATGTTAACCCAGGAACATGTCCTACTTAGTGAAATCAGGTTAGGGCTCTGAAACAAGGATTAGATCTTTGCATTGTGATCTTGTGTATCTGTGATGATTATATTGTCTGCGTGCTGAAATAAATATAGATTAAGCAAACTCAATACTAACATGCCCTAAAGCAGTGTTTGTGTGGCAGTGCATTCACAGCTGTTTATTTCTGTACAGTAAAATGTCATCTTGACTGTTTCAGATCCTGCTCTGTCTGTGTTGAACAGCAGTGTATCCGGACATGAAGGTGGTAATGTCAGTGTTCAGTGTTTCTACAGTTCTGGATATAAGGCTAAAACCAAACAGTGGTGCAGATTTAAAGATAAGAGCTGTTTCACAGAGAAAAAGACTGACACGTTCCAGAATCCATCAGTGCAGATCAGTGATGATGGTAAAAGCTCCTTCACTGTGCTGATGACTGGACTGAGACTCTCTGATTCTGGATGGTATTTCTGCTCTGTTGGAGATCTGCAGGTTCCTGTTCAACTCACTGTCACTAAACCTGTACCCAAAGGTAAGATCACAAACCAGTTTAGAAGTAAAACATATGAAGCTATCACTGCCCTAAAATACCCTTGATGGTCTTTTCTCTACTTTCCACTACTGACAACTCCAACAACTACTCCTGAGACAGAAATGTAAGTTTAAACATTTTTGACCTTTTAAAAGAATCAAACACATCCAAATACTTTTGTTGTCAAATAGATTTTTTGAAAAAAAAAAAAACATTAATATGGTCTAAAAACATCCACTGTACATGCTCTCACATTATTACTTCAGGAATGTACTGCTCTTTTAAATGTAATTACTGAGATATTCATGCAACAGACCATGGTCATGTATTTTGATGTACTAATTTACTAAATCAGCCTAATCAATCGTATATTTATGTCTATACTCATATTGTTCTCCAACACAAATGTACCTAATTAATTATGACTTTTATTTGACATTGTTTTGCAGGAACACAACACAACTCTCCACCAACACGACTTCTGCAAAAATGCATTCAACAATAAACAGTAAGAAGCAGCTAAATTGGATTATTTAGAAATTATTCAGAAATTATTCAGGAATTTAACATTTGTTTGGTATTTAGTGGTAATTTTGTTTAATAAATAATTGTGAAAAGTTTTACGTTTTATTGCGCGATTGTTTCAGGTCATTTTAAGTTTTATCACACAATTCTGGAACATCATATAGAATGTATAACACGTGTTTTAAAAAACAATAGCTCAAAGATTAAGAATTAATTTTAACAGTTCACCTTTTTTATTTTATGATGTAGTTTTTACCAACTTTCATATACCGGGGTTGGACAATTAAACTGAAACACTGTCCAAGTTAGTGTTGGAGATTTTAGAAATTTGATAATTCTGTTGACCAATCAGCATTGATTGCACATTTCAACAGCAAGAGTAAAGTGTGATGGTTTATTTAGCAGAGTAATAGTATAGTTTTGCTTAACATATTGTAATGCACACAATTATTATTATTATAAATGACATATCAGAGTTCAAAAGAGGACAGATTGTTGGTGCTGACGCATCTGTGACCAAGACAGAGTATTATCAGCAAACCACCAAGAGGGACGAACCACAACAGGAGTAACTGTGGATGCAAGAGGTAGCTGTCTGAAAGGGGTGTCCGGGTTGTAATCCAGATTATATTCAAAAATCAGAAAACCACAGCTGCCAAACTCACTGCAGAATTAGATGTGCACCTCAACTCTCCTGTTTCCACCAAAACTGTATGTCGGAAGCTCCACTGGGTCAATATGCATTATACATGGCTGGGCTGTTCTAGTCAAACTTTTGGTCACTCGTTCAATGGCAAACATCAGTTTCAAAGAAACCAGCAAAAAAAAGGCTGTGGGCAATATGAAATGTGTTGTTCTCTGATGAGTCCACCTTCACTTTCTCTCTCACATCAGGGAGAGTTACAGTATAGAGAAACCTCAAAGAAGTGTACCACCCAGACTGTTGCATGCCCAGAGTAAAGCATGTGGGTGGATCGATGATGGTTTGCACTGCAATGTCACAGCATTCCCTAGGGCCAATACTTGTTCATCACTGCCAAGGATACCAAACATTGTATCCTGAAGGAGGTGCCATGTATAAGAAAGATAATGCACCAATACACACAGTAAGACTGGTCACAGAGTGTTTTGATGAACATGAATGTGAAGTTGAACATCTTCCATGGCCTGCACAGTCACCAGCTGTAACTAGAACCTAAAGTTCATTCATAAACTTTGATGTTGGCTTGAGAAAGCCAACGTGACTGCGCTAGGACTGGGAATGGCAGTTGGCAGGAAGCAGGGCGGCAGTTGCTAAGTGGTTGCTAGGCAGTTGCTAAAACGTTTATGGCATTGTTAGGTGGTTGCTAAGCAGTTGTTAAATGGCAATGCTCGTGTACATGTTTGATCAGATTCTGATACTTAGTAGGCATTTCTAGCATATGTTATTGCATTTAGATAATCATTCATAGCATGTAGCTAATCGTTATTAGCACTTGGCTTCCATTATCTTTGTTACCATGCATAGTACACAGGAAGTCCCATTTCCTAGCATGAGTCAAACAAGACAATGCCCAGGTCCCTACAATGTTCTGTTGAAGAGATATTGCTGTTTTTAAATGGTTGCTAAGTTATACTGTTTTATTGCTATGGGGACGTTTGACAGGTTAGTGATGATACATCAAAGCTTCTTGGCAATATGAGTGATCTAAATCAACCCCGATGTTTCTATGACAGTCTTTATGAGTGTCAGAAACTGGACTTGAACATTATGTATTCCTGGTGTTGGGTTGCGGCTGGAAGGGCATTCGCTGTGTAAAACAAGTGCTGGATAAGTTAGCGGTTCATTCCGTTGTGGCGACCCCTGATTAATAAAGGGACTAAGGAATGAACATTATGTAAAAATGGCTTGCCGTATTTTTTTGAAAATACAATGCTTAATAAGTGTGAAAGTGATACATGCAATAATGGCTTGCCATATCAGTAAAAAATATGGAGTTTAAGTAAAAAATGGCTTGCCATATTTTGAGAAAAATTATGCTTAAAAACTATTTATTGGAAAACTATAAGTCTGATAAACCTTAAAGATATAGCAACAAAATCTAACGCATCTAAATACAGCTTTTGGCCAAATTTGGGGCTTGTATAATTTTTTTATATGCTCGGATTATGAAAATTTTATATTTAACATTTTTTTTATAAAAAAATGATAAGTCTTATAGGCATGAGGAGATATAGCAACAATCTTGAATGCAGAAGGCACATTTTGACCACATTTGGGGCTTGTGGCATAAACGGCCTAGGAGGAGATATGTTTGTTTTCAAGGACAGAGTAGTATAACAGTATGTCGGGTTTCTCAAGCCAACATAAATATTATTGAGCCACTTTGAGCTGTCTTCCAGATGAATGGCACAAAATCCCTCTAGCCACTGTTTAGGACTTATATCTGTAATTCTCAAGACAAATCGATGATGTATTGACTAAAAAGGGAGGTGCTACACCAATCAATTATTAAGGTCTAAAAATAGTTTCATGGTCCAACCCCTGTACAGTGATGATAATAATGATATATATATATATATATATATATATATATATATATATATATATATATATATATATATATATATATATACAGTATGTCACAAAAATGAGTACACCTCTCCCATTTCTGCAAACATTTATTTAGAACTTTTCACAGGACAACACTACAGAAATGACTCTTTGACACAATGAATAGTAGTCAGTGTAAAGTGTGTATAGCAGTGCAAATTTATTGTCCTCTCAAAATAACTACAAATACAGCCAGTAATAGCTGAACCCCTGGCAACAAAAGTGAGTACACCCCTAAGTGAAAATGTAAAAATTGAGCACAATTAGTCAATTTTCTTTCCCTGTGTCATGTAACTCATGAGTGTTACACTGTCTCGGGTATCCACAGATAGCAGGTGAGTTAAATTTGGTATAAAAGGTATATTATGACAGGGAAAACACTAATTGAAACACAAATTCTCAGACACTTTTTTTCTGCTTTTAACAGCCCTTGTGACTACTGATTCAAGGCAAGAGGCATACATGTATGTGAATATTGTTTTTCAATCATTCAAAATAATAACTGATACCAAACTGTTATGTGTTGCTACAGCAAGGATGAACAAAACACACACTTGAGACTATTTCAGTGTGTATTTGCTTTAATTACATATGTAAATTAGAAGCTAAGTCTTCAAAGATGAACATGCTGTAGATGTTTATGATGTTAACAAATGTGTCTCTCCATCACCACAGGTTTAATGTGATTCTGATCATGTGCCTTGTAACGACACTTCTGCTTTTACTACTTGTGGCTTTTTTTGCCATAATATTCTGCAGGATGAGAAATAGTCCAGGTGAGTTCTTTTTTTCCATCGCTGTTTATTGACATAGCAGGAATATAATTACACAAGATGCATGAAACTAGCACAAATCTTCAGTTTTCACGGATGGAAAAATGGTCAAATGTCAAAATAATACAAACACACTTGACCACAGAATAATGTGACCAATCAGAATTCAGGTTCCAAAAGAGGGTGTGTTCACAGCCTTAAAACACAGGTGTCAAAGCCAGTTCCTGGAAGTCCACAGCTCTTCACAGTTTAGTTCCAACCCTAATTAAACACACCTAATCAAACTAATTGAGTCCTCCAGGCCTGTTTGAAACCTTACAGGTACAGAAGAAGAGACCTTTAAGTTATATTGCATCTGCATGCCAAGTAATTCTCATTAGATTATAAATAGACTGTTAGGATTAGATTGGGGTTAGTGTAAGTTGACATGTTGACAAAGTTTCTTATAGTCAGTTAAATGTCTGTCGAAGGAGTAGTATGAACAGGTATTGAGTAGACAGTCTACTAATACTCAAATGGACCATCAAAATATAGTGTTACTGAATGTATTTTCACTTAAAAAAAAATTTGTTTGCATTAAATGTTTCCATGAATGTTAAAGGTACTATTAAATAATGCTCTGAATGTTATGAAAATTAATTTTTAAAATCTCGCTCTGACAGAAGGTGAACAAATTAAGAAAGAAGAACGTGTTGACAGCAGCACCATGAAAACTGTAAGTGTTTTACAGTCCAGTAACTGACAATCTGATGCAGAAGTTTTGTGGAAAAAAATGCAGTTGGCTAAGATTAATTCACCACTAATATTTATATGTGTTTGCTGCAGATGCCCCCTGAAAACCAAATGACATCTATCAGTCCTGCAGAAGCTGATGTAAGTCTTCATTCTGTCTGCTTTACAACTCTCAGAAGACACTGAGATGCTGAACTCAGATCAGTGATGGTCAGTTGTGTTTGTTCACAGTCTTCTGCAGATGACGCTTCAGTGCTTTACAGTCCTGTCTCCTTTACAAAGACAGTAAGTCTCTCTGACATATTTGAATTTCCATTATGTGACTCTTATAGCACTGAATAAGGTTTGTGTGACAAAAATTGTGCATTTCGCAGTCAAATGAACAGTAAAGCACAAAGAACGTTTTCTACTTGTAAACCGTGTTGTTCAAACTCCTCTCAGT